GTGAATCATAGCGATTGGGTCGTGAGAGACAACGTCCCCATCAGCATAATGTACTGGCGTCGAACAAGGTCCCGCGGGGATGAAGATAGTTTTCTCCCTGACACAGAGAAAGATATGCTGTGGACAACCATGCTAGAGACATTCACGATCCATGAGGCAAATCGTCCAAGATGCAAAGAATGGACCCTCAAGAAAATGTCAGAACTGTTCCAAAGCTACAAATCTGATTTGTACAAGAGATACATCGTCAAGGGCTTGACACCTGATTTCAAACAGCATAAGAAGCTAAGGGATCACTGGGATGTGTTTGTGGCCTATAAGACTGGAGCGCAAGGGCAAGCACAAATAGAAAAGAACAAAGCCAATGCAGCTAGGACGAAATACCATCACCGGCTAGGGTCAGGCAGATATGGAAAGGCAATCCCCAAGTGGGACAAATTGGAAGCCGACTTGATACCACGGGGTACCGAGCCGGCAATGGCTAAATGGCCTGAGCGATCAAGGAACTGGTTCTATGCACATGGTGGATCTCTCAATCCAGTTGATGGCTTCCTCATATTCGGCGATGAGATCCGAGAAGTAGCCCACCAACTTCAGGATGCAGTTGAAGCCTCTATGCAAGGGACTTTCAGGCCAGACAGAGAGAGAAGGACGAGCTCACCCATGCACTACAGAATCCTGAGCAGCCAGGACGAACGCGGGGCAAAGGCATCGTTCCTTGGAAATATGGATTCAAAGTGGACATCCACACGTATAGGAGTCGGATTAGGAGCAATAGGGATACCGAGGCTAAGATCGTTGATCTTGAGTACAGGGTGTCCACCTACGAGGCAAGGATGCAAGAGGAGGTTACGAGACAGGTGGACCAACGCTTGGCCAAGTAGAGCGAAATGGAAACACAGGCGCCCGTCATGGTGAGCCCCTCAGGCAACCGCAGCAGCTGCGCATCAACGGGCCATGTTGGATCTGAGGGCATTGAGGCCGTGGCAGCTAACGAAGCAACCCACTTCCCCGTTGATGAGATCACACAGTGGACACCCTGCAATATGCATACTCCCTTCAGGAATTGTCTATCAAGGTATGCGAGATATATATTTATAAACTGCGAAAATTTTTACATGTAAATGTTGATTACTAATTAATGAACTCGATGTCTTAGGTGGCGTCGGGCATGGCCATACCCACGGACCCTTCGGGTACATACCATTGCAGGCCCATTCCACCTGGATACGCGAAGGTAGAGATAGAGCTGGTGGAATGAACATACAAGGATCTCGAGCTTGACATCCCCGGAGGTGACGGGGAGACGAAACTTGGAGACACAGCCCAAGCCATCATACTCTGGCGGAAGAAGTACATCGTGTTTCCCGGGCAAGAAGGTTCGTCCGCTCCTCCTTCCCCACCGCAAGCACCGTCTCCTCCACCTCCTCAGTCTCCTTTGGCTCCTTCGGCTACACCGTCACCTCCCGCTCCTCCGCCTTCACCACCTCCTCCATGTGTACCTGCTGCCAAGTCTGCACCGTCGGGTCCGCGGGAAACGACTCCTCGGCCTGCACTAGCTACCAAGTCTACACCGTCAAGGTCCCGCCCGTATGAGCCCATGCTGTCAAGACCGAAGAAGAAAGCCAAATCTGACGAGCCAAGGCTCCCCGCTCTCAAGAAAAGGGCGTATGACTTGACTCCGAAGGAGCTCGATGAAGCCGTTAGAGCGGAAGTTAGGGAGCAGTTGAAGCCACAGAGTCCGGAAAAGAAGATCCCTATACCCCCGGCGGTTCAAGATCACTTTATTAAGATGGCCGAACCGAGCAAACAGGTCGTAGTTTCTGACTACGATCGAACATTGAGGAAGGCTCTTAAAGCCAAGCCAGTAGCAGTGAAGTGTAGAAAGGAAGTCCCTCAGCTGGGGTAGCAACCACAACAAGAGGTTGAACCGTTCGTAAATCCAGAACAACTTGAGATACGCAAGTTCTTGAGAGAAACTAGACTAAGGATGGAGCAGTTGCTAAAGGACACACCTATCGAAATGGCTCCAGTGAAGTACATGTTTAAACTCGGTGAACCGCTAGTCACGGCTGATAAGATAAGAGAGCTACCTACACAGATGTACCGGTTTCATCAATGGTACTTGGACAAATCAGGGATGGGTAGAGAGATGTTCGGAGCGAGGGTGCGAAACTCAATTTATTACCAAGGAGATGATGTTCTTTGGATCCATTACAAAGATGTCTTTGACTTATATATACCACCGAGACGCCCTCGACGTCTCTCTTCTCAGCACGTGGACTTTGTAAGTATTGTTTATTGCTTCATCCTTTGAATGTAGCTCATACAAATTCCTTTTATGCTTTTGTAGAATGGAGATTCAGTTGTGCCATTAGCACAACAAATTCAATACAGGATTCATGGACCCCCACAAAGTGAACACGCTGATGCTGCAAAACTACGAGAAACAAACCGAGGACAATATCCTCCATTTCCTAGTGCAGCAGCATTATAAGACGTTCATACTACTTCCCTACAACACATCGTGAGTTCCTACAATCATAACTTCAATTATGTTCCTTCCTATAAATATATATCATCTAATGCAAATTGCAGATTCCACTGGGTCCTTCTTCTTTTCGACCTTGAGAGATCCAAAATCCATGTCTACGATTCAATGGATAAACCAGAGAAAACTTTCGCACATATTTTCGAAGTGATAGATAGGTATTATCATATATTGCACTGTCATTATGAATAATTCTACAAGTACTATACGGATCTCGGATAATAAATTAATCCTTCCTAACATGTAAATAGGGCATGGATTCGGTTCCGTACATTGGTCCGCGGGATTTGGAATGAAAAACTCACCCGGATGTTCAATTTTCCGGTTAGTACATGCTCCAATATTATATTGAATACTTCTTTGTTCTAAATCAGATATGCATATTTAATCTCTCGTTGTTTCTCTTTTAGTGTGCAAAGCAAGAACAAGGGACTAACTTGTGCGGCTACTACGTCTACCATTACATGCACTGTTTAGCACACCAAATCAGGACTGGCCAGGACCTCGAAGTACGTAAAATTATTCATCCGTCAATGATTATTTACTGGTTTCATATATATAATCCTATTTTTTTCCAAATGACAGATGATTTACATGATAGATAGCCTCACCCACGATGATTTCATAAGGGCTGTTCAAGAACAGATGATGGGATTCATCAATGAGCAGATTATCGATCCCACAGGAGAATTCTATTACGATGGAAAGCCTATTCATCAAACCGGTCCTTCTTCTTCCGATGCCACGAAGTCGTAGTAACAGAAACAAAGATTACAAAGTCCGAAGGAATTGTACTGCATGTATATATTTATATATGCACACATGCATTTACTTTTGTGTACTTGTTTTGGTAATATATGTGTATATTTACTTACTTGCAAACTCATATTTTGTTAATATTTGCATATGGCCTCTAATTACTTAAGTGCATAATATTTGTATATACATATGTATTTCTACATATGTATATATTGACATTTCATATATATGTGTACATATGTATTTCATATATATACACACACACATACACACACACTGATATATATATATATATATATTACACATAAGCATAAGATTAGACCGCCGTTGTTGCCCACATCCACCTGGACAGCCACCCTCGTCCACGTCTGTTGCGGCTGCCATGCATAATCTCCCGCATCCGCCAGGCCGCTGCCCTTCCCCGTCACTTGCGTCCTCCAGGCCACTGACCATGCAGCTGCCGCCTTCGCTTGTTGCAACCGCCCTCACACACACCTGCCAAATCATCGCCCTCGCCTCATGCATCTGTCACCGTCCGCGTCTGCCAGGCCACCACCTTCGACCCTTGCATCCACCACGTCTGTCGTTGTCGTCTATCACGTTGGCATCGAATAAAATAAGAGATGGTAATGAAAAGAAGGAAGAAAGAGAAGAGATGGGATGCAGAAAGAGAATAGATGGGAGAAGATGGTGGGGCCTATGAAGGTAATAGAATATTTGTGTTACAGTAAACATAAGATATGTTTGTTATACATATTGGCAATAATGTTTCATGTAGATGACATGGTCATCCATTGCAATTAGTAGTGGGCTCTCTTATTTATCTTGCTCTATTCAAATGGTTCATAAGTAAGGTAACAACCGAAAAGATACATATGGGTCAAGTATTGATTTAGATATTGGGTAGAAAGTTAGATTTATAGGTAATTTGTCCTTGGGTTTTGCCGGCAGCATTTTCACAGGCCGTCGTAGGCAGCCACCAGTGATAATACATATTATTGGTTGTGGTTGTTTAACGCTAACCAGCTACGAAAATGATGTCATTATCATAAGCAGATGTCCTAACTAGCCCCTACGGGAGCATTTTCACATGTGGCTACATAATACCGAGCTTGTTATAATGTCACCCACAATTTATTCCTGCCCGAGCCAGCTCATTTCCATCCCGAGTTCTCTCTATTGTAAAAGTAAAAAAATAGGGGGGATTTTTAACTTGAATTCTTTGGTGGATCTTGGCTATGTAAAGTTAGATTCTTCATATCCTACAATGTTTTCAAAGTTTGCTTTCAAATTTATGCATTCAATGCGGATAATTTTGTTGAATTATCTATGCTATCTAAGCTTCTTTAGTTAGAGCTAGAATTTTTAATTTGCATATTGGAGCTCAAATTGGACCAAATTTTCAAGGCAATCTTTGTGCAATGTTACGGTATCACATACACCTAGGTGGGCTGGTGCTCCTTTTTAACTCAATCGGAAACGCCCCAAAATGTTTGGAAACTAGCCGTGCCCCCCGCGCGATGCGCCGACATCATCCAAGATAATCTTAATCATAAAAGAAAAATCATAATAATAAAAAATAAGCATGATTGAAAACAACATAGCACATAACAGAGCTACACAATAATAATAATAATAACTCGATCAGAAAGAAAATATCACGATGTTCTCAATTTTGAGTGATTTAATTGGACCATAATATTTTTTATATAATCAATGTTACACGAACAACGGGTATCTCGGTGCATAATACAATTACATCAACAAAAATAAAATAAACAACATTAGTATTTCAATACCTAGCAGAGTAGCAGTTCCCAGGAAGACCAATCAGTGGGCGATGATTAATTTGGAAGGATAGTCAAACAAAACTATGTCCACAGCACATCACAGTTGTGCCCCCTGCGCATTGCGCGGGCATATGAGGCAACCTATAATAACTCAAGATCAGAATTGGGCATATCACAAGATAACATGCAACACTGTTCCACAGTAATAGCGCAATATCAAAAAGGGCATATAATCTAACAATGTTCTCAGTTTTGAAGTGATGTAATCAAACCAAAAGTTTTTTTAAGAGCAATCTTACACTAACAAACATGGATCTCGGTACATAGTAGACAACATTCTTAATTCGATACCAGCAGATCCTAGGAAAAACGAATCCTTGGGCGATGATTAATTTGGAAGGACAACGGACATCACATCATAGATATGGCAGTGGCAACTCATATTGTATATGTTTTACAATCTATACAAATTGGCCATTAGCAATAACAAATAGAAATTAAGGTTTACTGCTCCATGACCCAGAACCAGTGATTTTATAGCCAATTCTGGAGATATGAGAGTTCAGTATTCTCGCCAGCTTGTCATTAATTAGCATCGATCTATTTTAGCCACCAATAAGAAAAGGAAAATACATCCACATTTTAACCTTGATGAAGAGCATGCATATCCCACACTGTACAAACAACAAAGCATAATTTCAACAGAATAAAACAGTTTCTAATTTCCTAAAGCATGCTGAGTAATATAGCATCAGTATATAATAGCATGAGAAAGTTGAAATTACCCGGACTGGCGGTCACAAAAGCATCAGTGGAAGCCTGTAGGAAGCCATAAACCCATGAGCTATATAAAATACGCAACAAACCACTAAAATGCCATCACAATATTCAGTTATCGTGTTAGCTAAGGTCCAATGTTTGCCTCATATTGTGGTCTCTGCCATGCGCCCATGCCTGAAAACGAAAATGGATGAAAGTGGTCACTGAGATGCTGCCAAATATAAATATTGACCCATGCAAAAATATATGCTACAGTTTAGCCGAATACCGGTTTATATGATAAAAAATAGAGTAGGGAAGGTCGTTTATCAAAACAACTAATTAAATAATGATCATGCATAGGGATATAACAATTGGACAACAAATAAGACTTCCCAAGGAACTACCCAAAAAACTGAAATAATACCAGGCAATAACAGGTAGAGAAACCCTAAAGAGCAATTGCCAAGTAGCTGGAAGCCTTGAACTTGAAATATGAAAAGCATAGGAATTAGCAAACGAAGCCACTCAAAGAAGCAAGTACACTATTAGAAAATAAAAAAAGATAAATGAAACGAAATATGCCCATGTGTTGTTGTGGATGATTGAAAAATTGTATAGATATATTTGAGATAGGATGATGGCACATAAATATGTAGCTAGGTATTTAAACAAAAGGAGAGGGAAACTGTGTTGCATATATCTGTTTTAGTAGTAACTGAGCTACTCATCATATAGTATTGGGATCACATGTACCAAAACAAAATAAAGTTACATACCTGAGGCAAGGAAAATAGAATATGCATTTAAGCGTATGGCAGGATGATATGAAAAATAGCTTTTAAGCAATACTACACTACAACAGGAAGCAAGTGGATTTGACAAACTTTGGTAGAGATAGGACAGTACTCTTCATCAACTTTACATTGAAATCATCCATGCATTTCTTGGGCATAGAACAATGGCCATGTAAATTATCAATGGTAGAGTAAAGGATGGTGAAATAAATTAATTGGACAACATAATGATAAAAGGGGATCAGGGAGCTGACGAACCACTGTCCTGGATTAAAATGAAGATATGCAAGGAAAATAAATAAAATATTCATTAGATATTGATGCCAGACATTAATATTGTTTTGGCAGTGAGAAGTGGCCAAACGGCAACAATCGGAGGACTTCTTTTTATTGAAAAATCGTATGACTTCTGGCTGGATGGGCCTAGCCCAAACCTGAATCAAGATTAGGGCCTAATCCAGATAGAAAATAATGGGGAGATCATACCTCACTGTCCCAAGGAAGGTGACGGCAGCACAATGGCTAGAAGAACACTTGCTCCACTCCATAGCTTGTACCCAAACCCTAACTGACTCACAAGATATGTCATCCAAATTGACGCTGCAAAGGATAGAAGCAAGGATGCTGAAGATGGAGAAGCAGATTGAGTTAGGGCTTGGCTTGCTCTGCTCTACTCCATACCCATACCCTAACTACAGATAGATTCATCACAAAATAAGTCATCCAAATTGATCACTGCAAAGGATAAAAGCAAGGTTGCTGAAGATAAGAAGCAGATCAGGCTAGGGCTTGGCTTACCAGACTGCACATGTTGTCAACACCGTGCAAAGAGGTGGACGAAGGCAACTATGGCAGCGGGCGTGCACCCTTCGTCCACCTTGAGAAATTGGCCGGTCGAGCAAGCGAATCAAGCGGAACGGTGGCGGCGCTTGCAGGTGGCTCGCAAGAAGGCGACGACCCCGGCCGCTAGCTCCGCAAGAAGGTGGCGGCGGCGGGCTTCGCGACTCGCGAGGGGAAGATGAAGATTTGAGTATTTTGGGAAGGGAGGCGCAGAGGATGTCGAGGATCGAGGGGATTGGGGAAGCTATGCCGGGCGCAGCGATGTGCATGTGAGGCGTGGACGGTTGGATCAAATCAACGCGTGGACATCGGACGGTGCATGCTGGGTGATGAACTGTAGTACTGTAGCATCTTTTCCTGGGCTGATGCTGATCAAATCACTGCTAGTAGTGGGTTGTAAAAACTAAGGATTTAATATGATGTCCATGCATGTTTACGACCTTACCTGCAAAACATGCTAAACCCACAAAACTCATGCAAATTTATTAGTCTAAACTAAAATGGTGTAAATGAACTAGGAAATCACTAGTTTATTCACATATGTTTGGTAGTCGAAATGGTATTTAACAACAGCCAACACATGTCATAGGGGAGAATAATATGAAAGGCTAATATATGTACTGTTTAATTGTACTTTCCATGTGCACTTGATCTGCAATGTGAGTGAGATTTGGGTGAATATGATATTTATATGAAGTAGTTATCAATTTACCCCTTATTGTCTCAAAATTAATCACTAACATGTGAGCACAATGATCACGGGAAGAACTCACGTGGAGATATGAAGGAAAAATAATTAAAACCAACTCTTTTAGAAACAAAATACTCACTTAATTAGATATGTGTCGAGCGGCTATTCCTGATTATAAACCTTGACCTCCGCTTGCTACACTCACGACTCTAGTTGACCCGATCTTTCGGTGAGTTCATGATAACTACGTTTTGGGAAAAACATTGACGATTCAACTACAACTGTATAAAACGTTGTTGTGTTGCGTCTTAGCGATCGATAAACCTCTTCATGTGCTGTTGATCTTGTCAGTTCAGATCAACCTTATTCCTACAAGCAAATTGAAGAAATAAGCAAGAAAAAGATAAAAGCAATCTATTATTGCAAATAGCAATCAAATAAAAATGGTAAGCTAAGGTTCTGAAGAAGAGTAATTAGGTGGTCTGGCCAACACACGTAACTACAAGGTAAAGTAGCAATGGCTAAAACTTTAATCTAACAAAACTCGAGAAACCCTGAAGGGGTACATAGTTATTTAAAGAGGTGGGAGGATGACCAAGGGGTCCCAAGGATTGTGCTCCACCAGGTTGGAGCGCATCCCACATGGGCCCCACTTGGGTTGGGTCCCAAATGAAGGTATAAGCCCAAATGCCCAAGACAGGTGGCACAACACCTTGTTTCTTCAATTGCGGATGACTGAGATGGAATTTGGCAATGAGGCTGGATCTGTTGGAAAGAGGATTCCGAGCTAGAGCTTTTCATCAGGTACTGATGGCTCACAACGGAGCTTGTATGCACATTTGGCTACCGTTTGAAGTCAGCACTATAACAGATTGCCGGATTGGATTCCAGCACTTGGGCAGCTTGATCTTGATATCTTCTTTTTTATGCATGATGTGAACAATGGTTGTATTTGTGGTAGTCATGGTCACATCATCCTCCCCTTCTTCATGTTAAACCGTCTTCGGTTTTTCCATATGGTGCTTGTCGCGTAGTGCATGATCTTTCCCATAGAAATGTCTACATGAAACATACGCAACAAACTTTCATTATGTATTATCATCAGTTCTTTAGCAAACAAATTTAATATCCAATGAAACAAATGTACCTGATATGGATGCACAACAGATAACATGGATAGCACATTTGAATGTTTCACTTGCTGCTCATTTTGCTCTCCCCTTCTTCAAAAGCCAAGTAATGACATGATACTTTTTCAATGGCATAAGTTCAACCCACATCTACAGGAGGATTTTGATTAGTTGCAGCACCATTTAATTTTCCTTTGATGATTTCTTCAGATGATGGAAGTGCATCGAATTTGAGTATGAACAATGGAATGGCGGCTCATTCATGTCTCTCTCCTCCTTTTCATGATTATACACTTCCTGCAAATGGTTAGTAATAGGAGGCAAAAATATAGCATGTTTCTTTTTTATGTCCTTCTCTATTTTACTTTCAATATTGCAAGTAGGGTGTAACAAATGAGAAAGAGATCTATATCTTTGAGAAGAAAGCATGTCCTAAATTTCTTTGTTAAGCCCGAATAAAAAACCTCAGTTCTGTCGCTTATTCGCATTCATATAAACCACAGCGTAATAAACAAGCATTCATTTCATGATAGTATGAAACAACAGATATGTTATCTTGTTTTAAGTATTGCAGTTTGTTGAGCAGAATGACAGTATAATATATGAGAACATAGACATCTCTCAAATATCGTTCAAAGTCTTTCCAAGATTGTGGTTTTTTTTATGGCTACAAAGATATTTCCAATCAGAATAAGCATTTTTAACTAAAACACTATAGGCACACATAACCATATGTTTCTCAGACAAGTTATGCTTTTGAAATTCTCTATCAACCGCTAATTCCCTCAGGGCCTTAAGCTATAGAGGATATCGAAAGATGACATTAGATGGGTCACCAGACAAGCAAGAAATCAAATCACCGGACATCTACATTTGAAGGAGCTGACCTGCGGGCCATAGACGTGGTTGGAGGCGATGAACTTGTCGACATTAGTGTCGTACCACTTTTTTTTGGGGGGGAGGGGGGGTTGTCCCGGGCGTACACCTTCTTGAAGTAACCGAAGTTGTGCGCCTTCACGCCCTCAAAGTGCTCACCAATCCCCATCGCTGTTGTCGTTGTCGCCGCCGCATTTGGATCGTTTCGACGGTGAGGTGTGGTGGTATCATGTGGCGTTCGGTTTCGCTTCTACTTGGACAAATTGAAATTGAAATTACCTCAAAGCAATTCTCTTTTTTTGGGAGATTTAATTATAATTAAATGTTAACTACTGAAGTAAACATCAACTGAACTAGTCTGCCATTGCGAACGCTCACGAGTGCAATCGAATCCCAGGTTTCGCTTCTACTTGGACAAGGATGAGGAAGAGTAAGTGGGCAACAAGCCAACAGGATGAGCCCCGCCGCACGCAGAACCGGCCGTTGAAGATTCGCGGAAGCCCATACCAGACCACCGTCGGGGACCCGACGGGCCCTTTTCATCGAGACAGCAGCGGAGGCAAGTGAGGATGGAGGCACAAGGCGACAGGGCAGACGTGGGATGGAAGATGTCGTACTTTCACCGGTCGATGGGAGACAGCGGTTGCGTCGATTTGGCGAGGAGCCGCCTAGCGGCTGTCTATTTTTGGCCGAATGTCGCGAAAGAGAAGAAACGGAGAAACATGCTGCATATACACTTCCTCCCCCACCCACCCACCCACCCAAACAAGTGATAACTTACTAATACTAAACACATTTACAGTCACAACTCACAAGTCATAACTTGCATCTTACTAATACTACTACTTCATAAGTTCACGTTTGCAATTTTAAATGTGGATGGAGGTTCGTGGGCAAATAGAGAACATCTCACATTCCGTGGAGAAGGCAACCAATCGATCATTGGCCCAATCGAGAAAATCGTTACATAGTTACATCTGCCGGCCACTGTTATGTACATTCATTCCGTTAAGAATCACCTAATGTTGTGCGGACTCTCCCTAGCAAATGAATATGATGCAGCCCCTCGTATTGACAACCTGCGGTATAGAGATCAACCCGTGCATAATAACTAGTCCTACAAATCACAGATTAAAAATTATATATATAGCTACAAATGGAGCAAATCTAGATAGAGCCGCATAATTCCATGTGTGCAGTGTTGCTATTTATATTTGAAGATCATCCAGCGTCAGTTCATCGACTGACATCATCTTCAGTTTCTGCAGGCAGTAGCAATATCTTGAAAAGCTATGCAGTCGAGCTTTCAGGATGAGATTAGAAACAATATAAAGTACTTACCGTGATGAACTGGGGAGGATCATCCAGACTAGATGAACCAAGTATGACTTCCCGCTTTAGCTTGGATGTAAGCTTGTGCACAGCACGTAACTGCAGATATATATTACCGGTTAAACCTTGCTTTTTTTTTTAACGAGGTTAAACCTTCCAAATTGGAAATTCTTGTAACAAATGATGAATATCCAAATTACGAAAGCAAAATAAATCTCAAAGCTACAACTTAAAAGAGGAGAGGCATGCAATTAATAATATACCTCCGACCGAGTGGCGCCACCAATGACAAACACAAATATACGCTGACCAAGCTTTTTGAAGTCACTCGACGAATGCTTCAGCACTGAATCACTGCAAATTTTCCATATACTAGTTATATGCCCGTGAAGGAAGACAAACAGTGGTTATGTACACAAATGCAAACGGTGTGGAATAGCTTCTCTTGTTCCAAAAAAACGTGATTTTGTTATGGAGATTAGTACGGTATCACTGACATTACATTGTACCACATCAAGATGATTAGGAGAGTTTACCTTCCTAACGTAAATAATATGTATTGCCTAAATATTATTTAGTGTCCTAAAATAGAGATAAGTTATTTGATATCATACCTAATACCTCCATCCCACAGGCTTAATTTCAAGCTATGAACTTGGACAAATACTTATCCAAGCGCATAGCTAGAAATGAAGTCCTTTTAGCACAGAGGTAGTAGTGGTTAGAAAGTTATCGATAGTTAGGGATTAGAGATCAGGTTTGCTAGGAAGTAGAGATTGTATTCTTTCGGGACAAGTTGTTCATGTGGATAGTATCCGTGGTACTATAGCATGATTGCACGAGGACCCTCACTATATAAGGGACACATGTACTGATGTACCCCATTATAATCAAGCAATACAAAATAAAAATGTTAGGTCTAGCTTGATCTGAATCTCCTAGCAATCAGGACAAGCTTGGCGTCAATAAGAGTGATGTCGTCTTTATCCCGATCTCCAGACCCTTACCCTATCCATGAATCGACATGCGTAACACGTTTTCCCTTATCGATAACGACTATCTCGGGAACACAAAACACAGACAACGAAGAGTCTCTACCACTGACCTTGAATACCCATCATCAGAGCCACGTGGCCGAGCCCATGTACCACCTGTCCGTCTGGATCTCATAGAATGAGCTGGTTGGTGAGCTGGGCTAGTTCTGACTGAGCTGCTCATTGGCAGACCGTGGAAACTTGGGCTAGGGTCGTTCATGCAATAGTATTCGTCTTTTGGTAATTCTCCCTTGCTAAGCTTCTCAATCAAGTCCTGTATAAAAGGTACAAGTTAACTATCGTATATTTTAGTCAAATGAAGGCAAAACAAAATATATGCATTAGTACATCCTCGCTTTGGAGACTATGCCAATATCCAAGATGCCTATTATTTGTGACTTAATGCATCTTGTTAGGGGCATCATTAAGTATCATCGACAGAGACCAGATGATTTCCCTAGTTGTCAAAGTTATATTTCAGAGACTATGGCAATATCCAGGGTAAATATATGGTGGAAACCCCAACTTAGGTGAAAACCCATGTAAACCTCAACCAAAAGGTCATCTGAATTCAACAAAAAAGAACCACACATGTAGATGAGATGATACTACACAACCATGTAAAAAATCTTGTCCAAACGAAGTCAAGTTTGGACAAGATATTTTACATGGTTGTGTAGAATTCTCATCTACATGTGTGATTCTTTTGGTAGATTTAGATGACATTTTGGTCAATGTTTACACCCAGAAAGTTAATAATGAGATCATCATTTCAGGAAATGATACGGAACTACATAGTGATATTGATCCGGAAGAAGCTCAACAGGCACTTGAAATAGCCGAAGCTAACATGAGTAGAACTGAGGGTACGAAAGAATTGGTTGAAGCGAAGCTAGCTCCCAGACGAACTAGGATACGAGTCAAGGCTGTTAATTGGATTCCCCCATCTAATTGAAGACAACCCAACGGTTTAGTTGATACAAAGAAAAAGGGAAGAGGGTAGCGAAGCGAAGTAGGTCCAAAGCTATCTAGTAATTTTTCTACCTACCTACCTACCTACCTACTATTGGATTTGAATCAATGACTCAATTCAAGCAATACTTCAACCACTGAGTTAAGCACGCAAGAGTTTTCACCTAAGTAGAGTTTCCACCACATATTTACCCCAATATCCAAGACTTCTTATTTGTGACTACAGGTATCTTGTCAGGCGCATCCTTTCTGAAAAGTACTAATCAGACATGATCATTCCTACAAGTAATATCAAAGCCATTCTCCTTATATGTATGTCTAGCTTCCCTGGTGCAATCACTGCAATCCTGGTCGTGCCTTCAGGATGCACCACCAGGGTCACAGGGAACGACAGCCCATACAGAAATTCTATCCACACCAAAATTTATACGGAGAGGAAAATATCGATGAAAACTATTCAAAAAAAATTGCAGATATCACTATAATATTGCTCTAATATATTTATACCTCTAGAACAGGATAAAATCGGGAAAGTGCCCATGTAGATTCTTCCCCAGTTCGCTCCTTTCTAAGTCCATGCTTCTTCTGTTATCAGTAGGAATCAATTAATACATCATGAGATCAGGTTGGTAGCAGATAAATGTTCAGAAAGAACCAAAAAGAAAGCAATATTTCGTTTACCTTGTGAACATCAAATTTAAACGTAAAACCTCCTCCCGAGGACTTTTTGGTGTCAGGGCCACATAAGCAACGCATATTACTCACAGCAATCATGTCATCAGTGGATAATCCTGCCAACTGTTAGCAAGCGAAATTTCTTACTGATTCCTGGCCAAGCATATACTCAAATCCAAATAATGTCCAAAATGGGCTCCTATCAACAATTCTGCACAGTTGCTTTACGAATTACTCCCTCCATTCGAAATTGATCTACATATAATTTTTTTGAGGTTATTCCTAAATGATCTACATATTTGTGTTCATTTATTAAGTCTATTCGTTATTTGTGCATTGGAGTAAATGGACATTGATGCATGAATCCATGCACACAAGTATTTATAACCCACATGCAATATCTTGATTTGCTATTGGCTAGGAAATAGTGGGGATGGTGCATGCATTGAGTTTGTTGCTAGAGTAAATATAGTATGAGAGAGTTATTAGCTTTTCTTGGTCTTGGTGTACCTATGAAATATGTAGATCAATTTGGAATGGAGGGAGTAAAACACTATGTCATATTGTTCACCTGTGTTACACCAGATATTTAATGCCAGCATAGAAGTCACGCTTATCCAATATGAAAAGAAACTGCATGTTTCATTCATGCACGTTTCATGTATTCAATTATTATCGCATTGATGATAGAGAGTAAAGGGTAGACATACTTGGTGATATTTCATGAAAAGAAAATTTACAATAAAGCAAAAGGGAAACAGTGGAAGGTGAAAAACAACAACTTATCTAGCCAAAAAGTTGCACAGAAAAGTATACAGATTAAGCATAAAACATCTTGGGTTTGTTGAGTACGAATAGAAAAACAGAAAATTTTACCTGCATCAATTTTTCACCCTTGTCACTTTCGAACTTGTCTGGGTTGATTGCTGCATAGATCATCAGCAAACGCAACTTGTTTTCACGACTTACACCCTGCATTAAGTAGAGTAAACAATGTCATTATTAAGTCAGTAATATCAAAACACAATGTTGAAGAACAACCAATGTCATTCTAAAAAGTAATTCAAATATTAAATACCAATTGTGTCCTCAAAAAATTGATTAATTCTTTAGTTCCAGCATCACCAAATACAAGATCTTGCTCTAGCTGTCCAACATCTCGAAGACCTTGCTCCCTTATTATGCTATTGAGTTTACCTGCAATCTGTACAAAACTGAGTAATACAAATAGAATGTCCAACTATTTGATTTATGCTTCACATAGTAAACAAAAATAGAATACTCATGATATGTGAGGCAATTAATAATTAAAAAAAATAGCTCAAAAGCAATTCAGTCAATCACAGAATAAACACAGCAGCTTATTTAAAGTTTTTAATAGCTTGGAGCAAGCAAAAATATATAGGTACCATCCTTCTGGCCATGCCATTGTGGCTCACATTGCAAGCACCACAGATAATACTGCTGTGCCAGAACTGTTGCACCAGCAACAGTTGTTTGCACGCCAGCCACAGTCAACCCATTGCAATGGTATGCCTGTGGATGTGTCCCGCGAGATAATATGGTAAATATGGTAACAGCTTGCGTTTAGTAACAGTCATGCCATCACAGTTGTTACTGTGTACTACATCCTAAATAATGTGTTTCGCAAGGGGCCTCATCTTTTCGCTTATGCTCATCAGCTAAAATTTGAATTTTCAACCTTAAATTTGAAGCTGATTTTGAGGTTTTTTCGTCGAAGTTTATTTTTCAGCCTCTCGCTAAGAACACGTATATAAAATTTTTATTCACAAATTACTTTTCGTTTGCAAATATGCCGTGAAACAATGGCTCCGAAGATGTTTTACAGCACAGAAATAGTCGTGTTACAGATTCATAACAGCATTGCATTGCCTCTACACATGGTAGAGGGGTGAGAAAACCTAGGGAATCAGCACATAGGATGACCTAAGGTGGATTGTGAAGAGTTTACTTTAACTGAGGTGGGTCCATGGGAGGTGGGTTAGGGCACACTCGGGAGGGAGGTGGGGTGTAGTGCTTTTCTTTTCTTTTCTTTTTCTTTTTTGGGTGATCATATTAATAATTTTATTGTCTAAAACCAATTTGAAAACCTTATAAAACAAATAGACACTTAAGGCAGGGAAATTAAAAAATACCATAAAAAACTATCTGATGTATGACCCTCTTTATTTTGTTATTTAATCATTTTGACTCATGCAAATATCTACCTTCCAGTAAATCTTTTAAACTTTTAGGAAGACATCTCTAATCTACACCCCTCCTATAGAATAACTATTCTACACCCCCCACCCCCTCCCCTTCCCACTCAGCCCGCACCTCCCTTCCGTTCTCCCGCGCGCCCACACTTCCTCCACGCTCCACCCCCCCCCCCCCTTCCCCCTCTCGCTCCCTCCTCCCGACGGCCCCCTCCTCACCCTCCGGTTTTTCTCCTCCCTCCCTCCTCCCGGCGCCCCCCGCCCCTCTGCCTCCCTCCGATTTTTTCTCCTCCCTCCTCCCGAAGCCTCCTCCTCCGCCTCCCTCTGTTTTTTTCTCCTCCCTCCTGGTTTTTCACTTATGCGCCTCCCTCCTCCCGGCACCCCCTCCTCTCTCCTCCTCTGCCTCCCTCCGGTTTTTTCTCCTCCCTCCTGGTTTTTCACTTCTGCGCGCCCCCTCCTTTCTCTCCCTCCGGTTTTTCTCTTCTTTTCCCGATCTCTCTAATCTCCCTCTGGTTTTTTCCTCTCAAGAAATCTCCTCCCTCCCTTCTATGCAAAAATGAAAAATAATATTGTTGAGAACAAGATTTGAACTCATGACCTCATAATCCCTACGTTGTTGCCCTAACCAATAGGACTTGTAAGATTTTGTGATTGAGTAATACTTTCTATTTGTTTTGTACCTTCTTTCAAATCAAGAATTAGGAACCCAACCCTAATCATTTTCATTACCACAATAGGGGTTGTAGTAAGAAATCAACTATGTTACTGCAAAAGTTATTGATCGTTACTATGTTCCCGTAGTAACATCATTATGGAATTGTAGTAACAAGACATGTTACTACGAAACTTATAGGTTGTTAGTAGACTTTTTGCGGTAACATCGGGATAGAATGGCAGTTACACTGAACAATGTGGCAACAATATTTCTGTAGTACTGCTTTGTTTAGAGAAAAAAACTTTAAAAGTTTCAATCTTTAGAGAGCAATATTACTCGCATCATATCTTGTTTTTCTAATCCGTTTGCACCATGATGTTCATAAAAAAGTGCTTAACGAACCTAGATCCATCATGACTATATTTTAACGTCGTTACTATAGAAAGCAGCCATGATACTACACATTGACCATCACGTTACTACAATGTTCCTGCGACACAAACCAAAAAGGGGTGGGTGTGGGGGGAGGTCTCTCATGGGCCAACCCACCTCCCCCTCCCTAGGGCCCAAAACCCACCTCCCACTTCGGTCAAAGAACGGTCAAAGCCCCCTCCCACCGGTCAAACCCGCCTGCTACCTCCCCCCACGCCCACCTCTTTTCAATTCTCGTCTCTCAAGAATGGCGTAGTAACGCGATGGTCAATGTGTAGTAAGTTGAGTGCTTTCCGCAGTAACAATGTCAAAAAATAGTCATGATGGATTGGTGCAAACAGATTAGAAAAACTAGATATGATGTGAGAGATATTGCTCTCTAAAAGATTGAGATTTACCTCTTTTCAGTTCTCGTCTCGCTGGAACGGCGTAGTAACACGCTTGTCAAATGTGTGGTAACACGATTGCTTTCCGCAATAACGATGTTAAAAGTTAGTCATGATGGATGTAGTTTCGTTAAGCACTTTTTTACGAACGTCATGATGCAAACGGATTAGAAAAACAAGATATGATGTGAGAGATATTGCTCTCTAAAGATGAGATCTAAAAGGTTTTAGCTCTACAAAAGCACTAGTACTATAGCTCCATAGTTACTATTACATGTTCTCTGTTCCTGTAATTTTCATCATGATGTTACCGCCAAGAGTGCAGTAACCCATAAATTTTGCAGTAAATTATCATGTTACTACCCTTCTATGATAATGTTACTACCGAATCATAGTAACAAGGTATGGTTCCTACAGTAACATAACTGATTTTGTTCACACAATTTGAACAGACATTCAACGCAAGCAAACAATGATCTCTAATCACATAGCTCATAGGGTGAATCGTTTATGAGAGCTTGCCACGAACCATGAGATCAAATTTATTTTTAATTTTTCTAGGTTAAGCCAGTTTCCTTGAGAGAAAAAATCGGATGAGGGAGGGAGGAGCGCTGATACAGGAGAAGAGAAAAAAAAAGAGAAAAATAAGGAGGCAGAGGAGGGCGATATGGGAGGAGAAAAAAAGAGAGAAAAATAAGGAGGGAGAAGAGGGCGCCGATAGAGGGGGATGGAGGAGGGAGATCAGGAGGGGGGAGCGAAAAAAGAGGAAGAGAGAGAAACGCACGGAGGGAGGAGGGAGGGCAGGGTGCACGAGTTCAAGGGAGGGAGCGCGGGGGTGGGGAAGAGGAGCGGGCTGGTATGAAGAGGAGGGAGTGGGCCAGGATAAGCGAGGGTGTAGATTAGTGTGTGTGACAATTGGTATATATACCAGTTGTTTTATTCATGAACCAAGGTGTGGACATCCTAATCAGTGGAAAATCCAAAAACCAGTCCAAATTATGAAATATGTATGTTAAAGAAGGGCCACTTTCATCAATTTTTTGTGCTGCTATTAGAATGCAAATTTTTAAAGAAGATGAGGTGTTTAGAAAAATTAATAAATTATGTGCTTGATTAATCTGGAACCTTAAGAATGCCTTATTCTAATCAAATATGCATTGAATAGCATGTGCCCTTTTTTACTGGTGAAGAAAAAGTTGACATTCCATGGTTTGACACTAACAAAATTAGATGAAATTTGCAAAGTATAAGGCAGAGATTTTAACTTCACCATTTTGGAATAACATGAGCAGACAAACAATTCTTGAGAAGGAAAATAGTGAAAAAGTAGGGAATTTTTTAAGCTAAACAAAGAAAATATAACCAACCTCAACATGAAGAGAAAGCTTCTCAATTTGATCGCTGTACTGTGGAAGAGCTTGAACCATTTTTTGCAAATCTCTATTGGATATCTCTCCCCCAGTTCTGGTAATTTAAACATGAAGCAATGACCATTAAAATAATAAGTCAAGAACATTACAAACAAAATGGACTCATGCAACTCAACATACATGTCCAAATAAATATATAGAAAACTTTATGAATTTTTTTCTGGCATTCACTTTCCTAAAGAAACCACTCATCCATTAACATATTTGTGTTTCAGGGTTAACTCAAAAATTGTGCAGCTATACACAGCTATGCAGATCATGTTGTATCTACAGTAGTTCTCCCTCCATTCCCAATTGATAGCTGCATCAGGTTTGTGCAGCGATACCAAGGGAGAAATAAATCAAGCAGTAATTAGCAGCGATACTGGTTCGGTGGCCCACACATGGCGCATGACCATTCAACTTTTGATGGTAGATTTAACTAATCTTGAGATAATCACTCAGCATGCATGCATGTGATAAAAAAAGGAGGGGATTTAACTAATTTCCAGAAAATCTCTTCACATTAAATCCACGCATACATGCACCAGATAAACAAGGAAATCCACTGGCTCCCAATGTTGTGCGACAATCAAACCAGATTTTTTTTCGTTTCAGTAATATGATGATCAATTAGGAATGGAGGGAGCATTTAAGAAACAGCACAGTCAACTCAGAAGGGTTGCGTTACAACTAACTTTTGTACATATATAAATCAGTAATCAACCTAACACATTTTGGACCTTTTAGTTTCATTAGCTTACAGTGTGTACTGGTGTAAGATTATGATTTCTCAAAATGACATACCCACCAATTTTATGATATTTTCTTCTAAGCTCCATTGTGATGCATGAGTATTTTGCTAATTGTTTATAACAACGAATGGTCAAAAATCACAACAGAGCAATTTCCCTACTTGGTTGAAACAATGCACAGACCTTGCTTGCTGCAGTTGAGCAGCTTTATTCTTGGACACAAAATTGCTCATCTTGTCATGCAGTCTTTCGCTTGCCTGAAAGTATGATGGTTAATTATAAAGCTATCAAACACATGAATCGCAAAGAAAGGTACTGAGGAGTAATCTCACATCTGCTATGTGGGCATGCCGGAGCTCAACCCATATTGGATCATGATCCTCCAATAGGACATCCTTCTTTTCAGTTGATGAACCATTTTTACTCGGAACCTTTTCTTTCAGTCACACATAAGAATGGAATAACCATCAAATGAAACAACAGGGAAGAATGTTACATAAAAATATATAAAAAAAGAAACTCTCTCACCTCATGGACATACTTGTTGCCATCCATACATAGAAGATCATGGCACATCGCGTCATATGTCCATTCATGAATGATTGGTGCAATCTATGGTGCCAAAGAAATTATGAAGCAGCAGCATATATAGACCATGCTCAATGTAGCACTAGGATAGATGTCAAAACTGCGTATACAGGTATGTTTACAATGTACCTGGTCTACTGAACGATCAACTATAAGTAGCTCACATGTCTCAGTTTGAGGATAATCCGGTATTGATGTTTTCAATTTTGAAAGGCAATTCCAAACAGCAGCAGCAAGTTTTGTAGGCACTAAATCTCGTAGTGTTGTCGTTACAGAAGCATCAATTGTCTTGGCGACACGGTAGTGCACTCTAGGGAATTCCTGTAATTTGTTGAACAATACATAAAAAAAGTGAATTGTTACCTAATAGTTACTCTAGAACGACATGTGCACATCAAGCACCAAAAGTTATTCATTGTATGTCCATGGAAAGTAAATGTATTATGTATACAGAAATAACCCAATATGTGGAGCAGAACATCAGTTGAGCATCAAAATCTTTTGGTATTGCCCACCTTCTTTTCCAGTACTCACTAGGGATACAAACAGGTCAGGTCAAGGGCCAACCAAATTGAGGCATTGACCTTTGCTAGTTCTTTTTCTTCAGAAACAGCTCAAGGGCATCTATGGGGGCACATTTAGGACTATCGTACTGCATACTAAGGTAAAAAAAACCCAATTAAGTGGTAAGTGAGCCATCAATAAGTATGGGCTAATGGGCCAGACCACTGGCATCCCTAATTTTTTCACTTGCAACTGCATCATTTATCATCTGAAAAAAATGCTGTCTGATTATACCAGGAGTTCACTTCCTACAGAGATAGTTCCTTTTTGTCATACAAATCACCTACTTTAGTGTTGATGAATGTAGGCCAGGTCAGGTCAAGATGATGACCTACCGGAACTGCATAGCATAGTGCCAACTGTCAACTGTCAACCACAGTGCATCTCCGACATTGGATCTGCAGGCAATTTATATAACAATCTAGGAGGGATGTGTTGAGCTCTGCCTCTGCATTCTTATTGCAGTCTTTGCTCCTCACGCTCTCCTCTTCTTCATTGTCCCACATAATAATTAAATATTCCCTCCATCCCAAAATATAGGAAAGTAGCTATATTTTGGGACAGAGGGAGTACATAGAACCACCTTTTTTTTTGGGGGGGGGGGGGGGAGGGGGGGGTTTACTTCTTGTGACATGGATACTACTGGTTTATTGTTTTGACAAGAATTATGTGTGCTTGTGTAATAAAATAGTAAGTACCCACAAACCAAATGCTTATTGTTTTAGGCCACTAAATAGGCTGAGATTACACCATGACTATGAACAAAAGGAAGTTAGCAGAAATTACATAACAGAGGTTTCAGGTGCTGGCTGAAGAGTCCAGGATGTGGGTATAGCGGACAGCATATGAGAAGTGGGATCAAACCAACAGGGGGAAACACAGGAGGAATTCAAGAGATCTTCGCTCCCTGTGATATGGGCCTTACAGATAGAGGGTCTAGAGGCCGTATTATGTATTATAGTTAAGAAGGTTATTAGTTAGCTAGGAAGTTGGACATAGTTTGTTAGGAAGGGTCAGGGTATTTCCAATGCAATAATAAAACTAACAATCTTGTTTCTGTAAGCTGCCACATCATTGTTTTTGCTTAGGAGAGGGAGAGGAGATAGAAACAAGAAACAATTAGATAGAAATGAACATTACTGAGAAGTCGTATCTATCGTCAATTAGGAATTCCATGCAGCAATTAATGCTTGTGGGGCCTTGTGAACATACCATGCATTCTAAGGGCTATTACTACTGTTGTTTACATATGTCATTTCTGTATTTGGAATGTCCTTAAGTTAATCCTATCGATAAAAGGACACCACATACCCCATTATGAAACAAGCAATCAATCTATATGGTTAGTCCAGTAAGCCTAAGAGTCACTATCACAACAAGTGAAGCCCTGCCAGCACTAGTAGAGGGAAAGGCCTTATCCCATCAGTCTTTGGACCAGTTTCACATTTCGTGGGACAAACCAAAGGGCAATCCTGCCCCACATATATCCCTAACTTCATGCGATCATCATAAAGCACTTTGTTTAGAACTTTAGATCTAAAGCACCCTATTTTTCAGACCTAAAACACTTTGGTTTGCATTAAATCAGGATATATTAACAGGAAACACAAAAAAAATGTGCAACAGCATCTTTCACAAATAAGAAATGTATTCATACCCTCATTGATGCAAACACTGTAGATATGCGAGTAGCCATTGTGTTCAAACAAGCATTGTACTTGTGTGAATCCAAAGCATTTTCACTAAAAAGCTCCTCCAATGCTCTTTCATGGTCAGTGGTGAAACCCTGCATGCAATCACTAGCAATATAACGTACCAGAGAAAAGGGATTACCATGTAATGGTTGGTACTTTGACTAGCATCTATGTCCTCTCTATAAGATAATAAATATGGTATCATCATTCAAGTAGCACGATAAAATTTACCGTTTACACTAACTTGTAACAGTATTAGATATAATTAGAAAATAGGTTACCAGTTGACAGGCAAAATTTCTAAAGTTGGTTATTTATCATTGCAACTACCAGCAACCAACCAAAATGACCAGAATCAAATCTTAGAGAATTTCCAATAATCCTAGCTGTGTATCATGGAAGTATTGAAATTTACATTAAAGGCAATTCAAACCATTCTTGTCACTGCCAATGATTGGGTTTTTCCCACGTTGCTCATATCATTCGCTCATAAGGCGTATCTATTGGGTCCCTTTTTCTCCTGACCAAGCCAGCTGGCTTCTTTCAAACAAAAAAGGATCCAGCTGATTTGCAGAAATAGGAAATGAACTCCTAAAATCATGCACTTGTTTAGGGAGGTCCACGATTTAAGATAGCCTATTGTAAATGTGCTTCCAAGAAATTCAGAAATATGCTTTAAAATTTAATATGTACAGTTAGGGCTTATGTAAAAGTCAAACAGCAAAAAAAAATTAATATATGTTCTGTATAGAAATTATTTTTGAGAAATTTTTTTGGTGGCAGTTCAAAACCAGCTTAACAGAGCTGGCAAAATGACTAAACCAGAGGCAAAAGGACCCTAGATGTGGGATCCACAAGCAAGAATGATCGAATATAAGCAAAGTGGCAAAATCAGTTCAGATATCTTTGGAGTGAAATCAATGCCATTACATTCTTGGGAGTGGCATTTTTTCAAAATGGCAAATTTCAAGTGGTATGAACCCGAAAAGCCCAAAATGGGAACAAAAACTCAGAAAAATATTTAGTTATCATGGATCTGTTTACAGTATAACATTGTTTTCAAGTTCTTTAAACCGAAAAATATATTAGGTCAAAAGGAAAATGACGATGTGTTTGTGAGCTATCCTATATTATTAACCAAATAACACCAAATGCTTCTCCTTTTTTAATTGCATGAGAACTTCTCAAGTTGTAGAGCAAAGTATCAGGGCTCAATTGCTCAAATACTCAATCCTATGCGTAAATCATGGATGAACAAAACAATTCCTATAAAAAATTGCATGAAATTATTTATGCTTCAAGAATATATGTAACAGATACAAACTATAAATGAAACACTGAAATTTCCGCAAGAAAAAAAAACAGATGTGCCATGATACCTGGGAATCAATAGCAAAGTACTCCAAATTCATCTGGAATACAACGAAAAATAAAATGTGAATAAATAGTTAGCATAACAGTCTTTTATATTTAAAACATTCTGGAATAAAATATAAGAGGATAGCATAATCCAAGTAACCTCACTAAGTGCACCAATACGGGGTAGTACACTTGAATCTTTTTTTATTTGAGTAACTAATTCTTTCTGTATGGGAGAACTGAAAAACACATACGCCCTACAACATGATCAACAATCTATCAGTGAAAGAAACAGAATAGAGATTGTACATAAGAGGAGATTCAAGTGGCGGTTTATGTTAATTCAGACATACTTCTTGTATAACGGATTTCTTCCGGACATGTCATTCAGGAACATCCCAATGCTGCAACATGATGATTAAAAATCAAACAAGTGTAATGTGTGAAAAAGTTGGAAAACGAACTACAAGCACTACTGACAAGTAAATAGATTATGGCTGTGTTCGGCAATGGCAGTCAGGAACTAATCCCTTGTGCATGCAAAACGGAGTGAATTATTAGCGTATGATTAATTATGTATTAGCTAATTATTTAAAAAAAATGGATTAATTTGATTTTTTTAAAGCAACTTTCCTATAGAAAACTTTTGCAAAAAAATGCATTGTTTAGCAGTTTGAAAAGCGTGCGAATAGAAAAAGAGAGAGATGAGTTGGGAAAGAAGGTGGAAGAACACAGCTTATATGTGGATGATGAGTGCTGATGATGAGAGATGAGCAGGGCTAATAGCACTTATGAGTGCTGATAGTGACAGGAACTGAACTTCTTTCTATAGGAAAGGAAAAACCTAGTTGATCTCCACAAATTGTAGTTAATGTTAATTCTCTTTTCTCTCATGAAGCCATACCACCTCAACTGTTTCTACCCTTTGGATCATTTATCTATGGTTCAAATTATCCATCTTCTCTCATGAAGTCACGCACATGCAAATCATCTCAATTATTTATAGCTTTTTTCCACCACAATCACCTCAAATTATTTTTAGCATTTGATCGCTGATGCATTTAGGGAGAAGAAATATATCAATGCGATGATAGTAAAACAAAGTTGGCAGTCACCAAATTGTGACTTAGGGAAAGGGAACTAATATGAGAGATTATATCGATGATTAGGAGACTGAACCAATACGATACTCCCTCCCGTCCCAAATATAACAATTTCTAGCATTCAAGATTTGTCCCAAAATATAACAACTTCTCCAACATTCTCTACCCAACCAATCACAACCCTCCACCTACCTCTACTTCTAAACCAATCACAACCTTCCCCCATTTTATTCTACCTACCTTCCCCATATACCCGTGTCCAACCCTAAAACTGCTTATATTATGGGATGTAGTACATTATATCGATGAGATGATCGGTGCAATTTTATTTTGCACTTAATGTTTTCTTATTATCATACGATGATGCGACTTTCCCGCAGCAATGTACGTAGTTTCATCTAGTAGAAGAAACAGATCTACAAATTAAGAGAGTAACACATCATCTGAACCTTTAGTAAGCAAAGAAAAGGGAAAGTTATACATTAGCTACAAATTGTTATACAATGATAAGAATGGTCATTGTCATGTAAAACATAAATGTGATAAAACCTCACCCCACAATAGAATCCAATGACTTTAAGGGCCTGTTTGGCCTTGGGCATCAGGTGTGAGCTCTCTTATTAGTCTTTGGGGCTGTTGTTGCTTTCTTCAGAGAAGCTAACTTCCTAATAGAATCCCAAAAATTGATCGGCTGGGTAAGCCCAAAGGCTAGCTTATTTTGGAATTACTGGGAAAATCAGGGATGAAGTGGTAGGGGATAGAAGGAAGCAGCTTTTTGGCTTATTTCTTTGAAATAGCTTTAACCATCTCCAAAAGCTAAGTGGTGATAGCTCTAATCTAGCTTCAATTGGCAGCCAGTCGGGGCAGAAAAGGCCCTAGACATGTTCAGTACAAACTAATTAAGTGATTACTTCCCTAACTTATTGCAATGTGCTTAACAACCCCTGTCTGGCATTGCATGGTAAATTGATCAAATATAATCGTGCAAGCCCATCATCGTGCACACCCACAAGCAGATCTTTTGTGTGATTGCACTCCATGAGCTCATGCTACAATCATATAAGTGTGTGCACAGATATCTGGAACTCCAAGAATTTTTGGCAGAGGTAACTCCAAGAATTTTCAATTGCTATGTTTACATTTCATATTTCGAGTAATTTCAGAAAGCCATATGTATTACGGATTGTGGCACATGACCCCCAGGTTTATGGTCTAAAGGTTATATAAAACCCCATCTTTATTTAAATCTCAGCTAATTTTCGTATATTTGAAACAATACTGTTCAAAGTAATAAGGAGTTACATCTTAATACAGAAATCATATAGACACTTTATGACATGAAAACTTAAGTAAATGTGTCCCCAACATGTTTTATAGAAAGTGAAAATAGAGAGTGGCTGTGTGCCATGTTCTTGAGTGCATGCCTATCTCTATGCCTAATAAGTGTCACCATCTTGATGAATCCTTTGCTTCCTGGACCCCAACACAATGTTCACCAAATAAGTGAAATTACTCAGACGCATCAAGTTTAAAACAAGCTATGGGAATATTTGGATTTTGAACTACAACTTACTATGATTTATCCCAAAAATCATGAGAATTTTGTAGGTCCTACTTTTGATTGAAGGACTTGGGTAGCGTTTGGGTCTTCTGGTATTTCAAAACCTTCAGCAATGGTAGAAAGGCAAATGTATACGAGAAGCATCAGCATCGACATAGGCATCAGATCAATACATCTAACTAGCATACCACTAACCCCCACGTTCCTGCAAGTTCAATGGCATATAGCAGAATGCCAATTCTCCAACTATTTTCATATTGGCACACAGCTGTTTTTTTCCCAAAAAGAAAAGGATATGATCTAGTTTTACAGTAACACATAAACGGATTGCACAACAGAATCATTGCAAACAGAAGTTGTATAGATTTGCTTACTTTTCTTTAGTTGGTTGAATGAAATATATAGCATCTAGTGAAGGCAACGGTTGTCTCCGTTTGTACAAATCTTCAACCACTGCAAAAGAACTAGCATAGGTGAGACTTTACAGACGATGCATCTACTGGAAGGCTTTAAAATATACAGTGAACAAATATTTCAACAAATAACAATTTAGGAATTCGAAGGTTCCAGAGTGCGAAGCTAGAAAAAGGATACAAAATGGCATGTAAAAATCAGGATAACCATATAAGCATAAGGTGATATACACAGAAGCATATTTGAATCAGTTGAAAGAGATGATACTGTAGAAACAAGACTTTGGTGGTGTCAGCTGAAACACATAAGCAGGACCACAACTCATGCACCAAGCAGCCTAAAGAAAATACTCGGTCATAATATTTGACGCAGTTGACTTACCATGGAGCTTGACAATTCGTCTTATTCGTGGTCTTATTCAAAAAAAAAATCTGTAATTACCATTTATTTATTTTGAAGGTACTTAAAGCATGACTTAGCATTTTTAATAAGACGAATGGTCAAACTTCATGGTCAAAGTCAAACAAACTGATCAAATAATGTATTTCCTTATAAATAAAACAAAATCTGAGAAAGAACAAAATGTGTGTCACTACTTACATGAAACCCCTTCTTCTGTAATATCTGCCATCTTACATGAACATGATATTATCTTGACTGTAAGTTTATCCATAATAAGAACCTAGAAGAAATCATAACAATTTGTGTAAGATGCTGCACAAATTACATAAGGGAATTTGTTAGAGAAGGGCATAAACATATTGTAGAAATTTCGATGTTTTCATAAACAGATATATCTATAGACTCAAAACTTCTTCAAATAAATATAGCCTCCTCACGAACATATCTAAAATGATCATTAAATGCAACATGCGAACAATCATGTCAGCGTGTGAGCTCAGTGCCCGTGGGTGCCTAGACTGCCATTTCAAATATGATCACTAGATGTTTTTCATACTACAAATTAAGCAATAAGCATCATATTCCAACAAGCTCCCAGTTAATGGAATTTCTAGTAATCCCTTCAAAGTTTATGTTTTCCTAGCAAAGTGAGTTGAACCAGCAAATGCCTGTAAATAAATTTAGAATGCTGCATGTTATATTTCTGTAAGAGTAAGTTGCACCATACAACAAGATGTGAGGTGAGTGCAAGTAGGGAACTAGAGGATTGCTCATTTACACTAACAAACTTGTTTTGCTGGTACACAACAGGTCAATTTTACCCTTGATGGCATTTTCTATGCATATATGCTGTATGTGATGTATATAGGAAGGAAACGAGAGATACTTTATATGAGCTAAGTGGGATACCTAAAGGTAGTCTGGTAGTGTCACAATGGCCCAAAATTTATTTTAATGCAACAATGCGTGCAACACAAATTGCTCGCCCATGTATAGGTACCTCTGTTTCCCTTTTTCTTTTTCTATCTATGTCTCTCATTGGCTAGTAACATCACCAGGCCACCAGGCATTCTGAGACCTTTCCTATAAAATAAGATCCTAGCCCTAAACGAAATGGTGTTTAAATTACACTCTATTAAGCCATCACAACCACATCGGAGTATAGGGAGTCAACGAGGATGAAAATTGTCCTCTTGGGCTGGTGGGTATGAGCCAAACAAGATTGCTGACACAAACGAGCAAATCTCAAGTTCCACACTTGCACTCACCCTGCAAGTTGTTGTACATATGATGCAATGCAGACTATAAATCAAAAGAAATGTCATATTTACATGTTTTCCGACTTTATCATTATTCAATGTATACAGCAGGGACCTCAAGTAGTTTTTTTTCCTTAAAAAGATGCATACGTGTTTTCCGACTTTATCATTATTCAATGTATACAGCAGGGACCTCAAAAGAAACCATGTCAATCTGAAAGGTGCCCAGGATTCCTTACCTTCCATGTTGATTTTGAATGTTTCCTAGTTGACCTGAGCATTTCAAATAATAAACCTGCATGGTCACAGCAAAAAAAAAAAAGGTTAAATGGAGGTGCTTTCTATATGAAAGCAGATAAGCTTGTGCAAAAACAGACAATAACAGTGCTCCTTGAATGAATATGAATAGAGAATTGAAATGTGTGGTTTGGTTGGAAGTGTGATGAAGCAGAAATATACAACATGAAACTTGCCATGCAGAGAATTACACGGTTGATTAGTATACCACATAAGTCGACAAGACAACCAAGTCAAAATAAGGTAACTAGCGCTCCATGGAGCAGAAGAATAAATAGATGAAAAATAAAAAAGGTAAGCTTCTGTCAAGATTAGTTGGCCATAGAAACTACAATCATGAGCGAACCTTTTGCTCACAAGTCACAAGACAAACAAGACAACCAAAAATTAAATATCCTGCAGTTAAAACAATTATAAGAAAAACTGTGATTCAGCAATTATTTCTCACCAGTAAATTTTGACATCATTAACTGTACAGAACAGAAATGGTTTTGACTACCACTAAATAAGCAAGCATGGCCCAATTCATTTCATCGTCGGGCATCCTACCAGATATGGCTTCCATATATCAAAGAATAGTACATTCCAGAAATATGGAAATCAAGAGCACAAAGAAGCCATTGCTGCATAACAGACTCGTCCAACTAGACACCAGTAGTACAACGATGATGCAGCAGTGAAGGCATCTCAGGTAAAAACCAAATAATCCTGTACGATTTTCTACTCCGATAAGAGCTCTAAGCAAACAAATTCGCACAACCACACGGATTTTTCCTATCTCCACAAGCAATTGTCCCAGATCCATCCCCAACAGCAGCATCAGCAGCAGCAGCAAGCAAGCAAATCGGGAGCAGCAGGGATAGAGGAAGCACAGAGTGGTGGCCTTACGGTCTCGCGTGATTTGGCGGAAGCTCCGGTGGTCCCCGCCCTGGGAGGAGGTGTCCGAGTCCATCGACATGGCGCCGGAGATCTCCCCCGCCTACTTCCGGCGACGCCGCCTCGGGCTGCGCTAGTAGGGTGGAGAGAACCACTAGCCTTTGACCCGCCCCGCGTAGAGGAGGCGGTGATCGGCGGGCGGCGAGCAAGCAGAAGAAGGGGAAGTCGGAGAGAGATCAGAGGGAATGCTCCGTGTGGCCGCGTGCCGGAGAGAGGAAGAAGAGAATTGGGGGGAGGAAGCGCGTGCGCGTCTCCAAGAGGTCGTCGGACGGTGGCGGCCGAGGAGATTTTACCAGATTGCCCCCCCCCCCCCCCCCCCCCCCTCCTCTGTGCTTCGTTGGACTTTTTTTTTTCTTTTTGACGCTGTGCTTCGTTGGACTTGACCTGTACGACTTCCATGCTAAGAAAAGGGGCAGGCGGTGCGGTTGCTCTGCAACCTTTATTCGTATCTATGTGACATGTGGGGCCCACTTGGTACCCACCGGTCATTGGTTATAGTTGAGTGAAGCCGACGCCACTCGCTCTCAGGTCTCTCACAGTGCGGTGAGCTGGACCGGGACCTCGTCGCGCCACGTTGGATTTTTGCCGCCGTGTCACTTGGACCCGCACCTAAACTAGGTTCCTCGTCCCCTAGGTGAGCGACGCAAAACCTCGCGAAATCCAGGGCGCGCAGCGAGGAGAAGACCCGGGTCGCGCGCGCTGTGGGCGGCGTAGCCTCGCCCTCGCGTCGAAACCGTAGCGCGAAATCCCCGATTTGCCCTCCCAAAACCCACTCCCGCCGCACCGATTTCCCTCTCCCGCCACCAATTCCTCTGCTCCCACGCCGAGAATCCTCAAAATTAGCAAGCAAAATCAAGAACACAGATCGTCACGGCGATTACCAGAAGAATCACACAAGAGACACAAAATCATAGAAGAAAATCAAGAGTCACACAAAATCACACAAAAAAAATCAAGAACGCCGCCGCCAAGAACGCCAAGGAGGAGTGCGCCTTCCTCCCGGCCGCCGCCGAGCTCCGCCGCCACGCGCGTCATGACGCCAAGCTCCGCCTTGGCCAGGTCGACGCCGAGCCCGTCCACCACGCTCCAGGGCGGGGCTAGCGCCGCCACGCCCCTGGCCACGCCGACCCCTCCCTGCCTCTGCGCCGCCCTGGTGGGGGAGATGAGGAGGCGTCACGGGGGAGAAGCCGCGATGCGTCGGTGGAGCGGTGAAGTTGTCGAGGTCGTCCGGGAAGAAGCCGCGACGCGTCGGTGACGACGTCATCCATGGGGGGCCGGATGCGAGACTCGCCATGGCTTCCTGCGAGCTTCTTGAGCTCGCGGAGAAGGAGCGAAGGCGCGAGGGGAGGTGGGGGAGGAGCGCGAGGCGTCCCCGGCGTGCCGCCACGGCGTGGGAGGCAAGGAGGCGCGGCGGCGGACCGGGAGGAGGAGCGGCGTGGGAGGCGAGACGAAGGAGGCATGGCGGTAGAAGGAGAGAAGGAGGAGGAGCGGTGAGGAGAGAAGGGTAGGTGAGGAAATAAATTGCGTTCGGCTCCCGTGTCCCACGCGCGTAGGGTAACACCCATTGTGGGATTCTTTTCCTTCCATAGTATCTCCATTCAATTAGGTCACGTAAAATAGAATCCTTGCACTGTGGGAAAGAGTGTCTTTGGGTCTTTTTTTGGGGCTAAGACACGGGCTCCGGTGCTTGCACTGTGAGTGCCCTCAGATTAGACGGTTTCCACTGCACGCTTGAAAAATGAAATGGACCACCAACAATCTATACTAATATAAAAAGGAATAGTTATCTTCTTCCAATCCGATAGGTAAAATCAACAGGTGAAATCCCTACCGTTTATCCGCATCGCTCTAATCCCTATCGTCCACAGGATTTCACCCTCCCGCAATGACCGCGATTTCACTCCCCTATCCATCCACCGCGATTTTCACCCGCGCTCTCGCCACCACGCGAAGACTCCGCCTCCGCGCTATTCTCTCCTCCTCACGTCTCCCCACCACCACTCCACTCCACCACTGGCCCCGCCGGAGACGGAGCCGAGGTCTTCCGCCGCCACCGCCGCCGTCGCCACACTCCACCGCTGGCCCCGCTGGAGAATTCTGCAAAATTATCATCGTCCCCACCGTAGCGCTTGCTCTTCCCAGCCACCGCATCGCGCACCACGGCACAGCCATCGAGCAACAGCACCTCCTCCTCCCCGCTGCCTACTCCACCGAGGGAGACCTTGGCATCATCGTCGCTGCCCTCAAACCGGCGTCCAAATGGGATGGGGGAAGGGAGAGACAGTGGCGCATTTGGGAATGGGAAAGAGTTAAGAGGGGGAGACCGCGGTGGTAGTAGGGGACAATGGAGAAGGTGGCACCGTGTTAGGAACTCTTGTGGGCTGCAATGTGGGCCAGTTCAGTGGCCTTCTAAGCCTAGCCCAACCAAGACAAGGAGGAGAACTACAAAACAGCAAAGCTGCACTTTCAGGGGCTATCGCAAGATCAATTGGCAAACGGCGACGGCGGCGGCGACCTGGTGGCCGGTTGGCACCTTGTCGATTTCCTTCCTCCCTACCTTCCTTCTCCCTCTATCTTCTCCATCTTCCACCACTTGTATCCCCTTAGTTCATCCTCCTTCCACCTCTATTTATTGGAGTATGGTTGCTATTGTATTGGATGCTTGCATATTTGAGTGGAATTGAGATCAGAGGTTGGGGTTCCTAACAAATTGGTATCAGAGCTACTCGGTTCGTGGGATTTCTTGTCATTGAGGTCTTGGGAAGGCAGCAGTGCAAGGTGGAAGAAGAATTGGGCAAGGGAGGTGTTCAAGAATCTAGCGCACACAACCTGTTCGACAGACTGACAAGCCAACATAAGGTGTTCAAGGATGATGAAAGGATAGCAGAGCCTGTTCCCATCAAGTCCACCATGAACAAGGAGGGAATATCCATGGACGAAGCTTTAGATCGGATTCTTGAGAGGTTTGAGTTGATGGAGGCCAACCGTAGACAAGAGGAGAAGTTCAATCAAATACTACAAAAGCTGGAGGAGGTAGAGGCTCGTAGGAGCAAGGCTGCCGAGGAGACAATTGCATCCATCAGGGCAACCACCGCTGTCCTCAAGGCTACATCACCTATAGCACCCATGGCACCACCTACTCCAGCGTGTACCAAGTGTTTGACAGAATGCCCCAACAACAACCTCACTTGGGCGACGGTGAGCTCAAGTCACATTAGTGAGGATACTGCTCCAACAGTTGCCTGGGAGCTAGGAGACAACAAGGACAAGGGCCACGCCCCCTGCGTCGTCACAAAGGACTCACTCGAGGTCACGCCCACCATGTGTTCGACGAAATGCTCCGGTCCTACCGTTGAGCCTGATCTCACTGTGGCTGTAGTGGTTACGTCCGCCACCACTGCCGCGGCCTCTATGGAGTTGGTAGCTACTGGGAACACAATCGGTGCCACTTACATCAACAATCTTGACCACCCCAAGGTGACGCACGCCAAGTGTTTGATGTTGGACCTTGGCTCCAATAGTGGCGACAACCAAACCATGGTCACGTTCCAGACCTTAGTGGACATGACTAAAGGCGTTTTTGCACCTGATGCAACAATTGAAGTCAGCTCACCAAGGAAGATCGCTGAAATGGACTTGGTCATAGTGATGCCTACAGGGTGTTCAATGCTATTCTTTGACAAAGGTGCCAGTGAGTTGCTGCCTGTAAGGAGACATGTTATGTGGCAATTGTTATTGGAGCAGTGCAAGTGAAACCCTTGGTCGCCTCCTAACTCAGTTTATCAAGTTAATGGAATATGGGAGTTGTGGCATGTGCCCTGGATAGACTTCAACTATTTTAGAACAAGATTATGTTTGATGCCACCTTAGCCACCATCGACTCAAATTGGAACCATAATGCTTTGGCTGGTGGCAAACTCATGGTTGAGAATAGTAGAGCTGAAACCGTGGCCTGACCCACAATCAAGTCAATGTAGCATAGGCGGGAGGTGGACTGAACTGAAAGTTCCATGGTCAGCACTTGATTGTGAATGTTCTATGGGAGATGATCTTTGCAGTGCAAATTGCATAAGAAACGAAGCACTTTCTGTTACATTATCTTGTGCACCTAAAGGAGATTTAAATCATAAAAAAATTGATGGATCTCAGAAGGATACCTTGGTGGCATTACTTATTGTAATGACCCTAAAATTTTAATTTGCTTCGCCGCGCTGTTGGCAACCTAGTTGAGCTCACTGTGTTGAGCTGAACGACTAGTTGTGTCACACGATTGGCTTGGATTTTTTTTTTTGCGTTAGAGGATCGATTCATATGCATATATCACAGTTGAAACACAAATTAGACACATAAGTAAATTCTTTATTTCTTCACATATACATTATACAGTGTTGTTGCATACATCAAATGCATCTCATACATTATTCGTCTAAAATAGAAATAGTGAAAATTAAATAAAAATGTTGGTGTGATCTGTGACCACACCTAATTGCTTTAGGAGATTTCAAATATAAGATTTAGGCAAAAGAGAAAATTTAGAGTTGCTTGATGTCACATATTTTGCAACCAAACCATTTTGGGGCACAAAATTTGTAACATTAGCCATCTCTTAGTACTTTCCAAAACTATTTATTTCTTAGGTAAACTCTGAGTTTTTGGGCAATTGAAAATCAGTCCCTAAATTCAAAGTAATCTCCATATTTTTAAAGTCTATGGTACTATAATGCAAAAGTTACAAATATCATACTTTTCACTAGATTTTTATTTAATTGCAAATCTGTGAAAAATTATGCTGAGCCTCCACCGAATAAACCATGCTTAGGTGTCAAACAGGGAGACCACTAGTAAAACCTTAGTAGGTGAGTCACCTAGTAGTCAACCATGTCCATGTGACAAAAACCATATCAGTGTGAACCCCATCCTGACCGAGCCTCGTTTTCCTCGTAGAGACCAAAACCAGTTAGCAAGAAGAACCACCATAACCAGAGAGTGGAGAAGAAAAGAAAAATACAAGAGGGCAAACTCACCCAACATTAGGTGGAGCAGGGGCTCCAGCTCCATTAGGAGCAGGTACCCCAGCTCAAGGAGGAGACGCTGATTCAGTAGAATCAACCAACCAATAGAAGCTGCAGTAGAAAAAGAGGAGTTCAACCATATATTTTCACAACCACTGAATAAGCCACAAAGAGGTAAACTAGATTAAGAGCATCATCCATGGCATATAATCATGATTAGAAGTCAGATTATTTTACAAATCAAGAATCTAGAGACCATATTATTTGCATTACAAGGTTACAGTGGCACACATCTAACTAATTTTTCTATTGTGGGACATTATGAGAAATAGAACAGAAAAATAGAAGGGGGAAAAGGGATATGGAGTTACTGGTGAGGGTTGTGGCCGGCAGAGTTGCCATTTGAGGCATTGGCCGTCTCCACGGCGACCATCACAGGAGTTGAGTACCAATAGCCATGGAGGACAACAATGCTCAGATTCCTTGAGAGAGGAGAGGTGGTAGTAGAGGATGGAGGTAAAGCAGGATATGAGTTTGTGGGAACTAGGGGGATCAAATCACTGCAGGGGCAGCTGCTAGGGAGATCGCCGGAGTGGGGCGTGGCAGCCGGCCTGAGGGAGAGCGTCGGTGTTGGCGGCGCTGTTTGGGGATGGCGGCACAGGAGAGAAGGCGTGAAGGAGAGAAGGAGATAGCGAGAGAAGAAGATGAGAAGAAAGAAAGTGGGCTGGTTGGGCTTTGGTTTTGTGGGCTAGACTAAATTAATTATATATAGTCTCTAGGAAATTAGTTTTAGATTTAGAATAGAATGTGAGCAAGTTTATATAGCATACAAATTGATGATTCTAAATTTTTGACATTAGTGCTAAAATAAAATCTGAGCAGAGCAAAATAAATTTATATAACAGTACCTGATCATTATATTTGCCATTCATAATACATCATTCATATGCATTGCATGCGGTAAATTTATGCGTTCGGAATATGTCCTTATTCGGACTTCCGTATTTTTTTCAGAAGTTCGAGTTCCCGAGGAATCATTCATTTCGACTGAATCTGAGGGTATTTGTGGTGTTTTCTATCCAGGCAAGTCCATCTCTTGATCATATTGCTTAGTTATTTCAAATATTTGCAACCTATATAACTCTCACCATTGCATAGAAAACCAGAAATTTATTTCTGAATGTTAATATTGTACATGTGGATCTGTGGATCAGTTCTTTGGTGATCTTAATAATTGGCAGTCTGAACTTGGTTGTTGTGTAGTTCAGCTGTATATGCTTAACATCATAAGGTTAATTAACAACTGCTGTAGGTATGCAAGCGCCGTAGCGATCGTGTCGACCATATGACCTGGAATGGGATAGGCTGGCTTAGTAGTTCTTTCTTAATGGCTTTATCCTGCGGGCTTAAGGACTTCCGCGAATCCCGTGAGCGTGGGCTAGCGATGAGGGTTGCCGTTGTTGCGGAATCCGATTAGATGATGTGGATCGCCATTTTTGCGGGATCCGATGATTCGCCGTTGTTGCGGGAATCACCCGCAGAGATAATTGACAGATGGGATTGATGAAAAGCTTGTGACCTTAGCCTTGCTGGCATACACCATGAAGTGTGCTTTAAGCGCCGACGGGCATGGGCGTTAAAAGGTTTAAGGCGTCTATGGGTATAGCGACACACCTCTGCAGAGTGTATGAATTGTGATATGTCACTCCCTGTTTCGGGTAGAAACTGCGAACGCGGTAGGAAAGGGATCTATCGGAGATTCTACCCTGTGGTACTTTATATGCAGTAGTGTTTTATAATTAAAATTTGAATTTTTGCAACAAATATTTGTCAAAAACATTATGAATTCTTTGAAGAATCTTGAATTCTAGAGATAGTTGCATTCACACATTTTCTTGCTATTGATGGGCTTGTTGAGTACCATTTGTACTCATCCCCTATGTTAATTCCTTGTATATAGATGTTGAATCATTAGAATCTGTTGAACAAGAATATATGGCTGGAAGTGAAGGAACTCACGTTATGGATGACAACCAGGAAGGACTCTACGATGATGCTGAGATTGACTATGATAATTAGTATATAATATGCATGGTTCATATAGTTGCTGTAGTGGTGATGGTAGTAGCTGTGGCAGCGGTAGTATTTGTAGTAGTAGCAGTAACATTAATATGAGTAGTAGTAATATCTGTAGCAGCACTTGTGAATTTTCTTGTGTGCTATATATGTGCTGAGTTTTTGGGGTTTGTATATTATTTTGCTGTTATCGCTCGAGGCTTGTCTTGAGCTGTATCTATGGTACTGTAATAACCGGAACCAATGCGATGTTTCTGCTATGCTACTCTGATGTGCATATCTCTGAGTAAACGGTGTTTATGAAGATATATGCTATAGACTTATATTCTACTCTTGTTGTGGAATATGTGGGTCGTTTCACTTATCTTGGAACATTTCCATTATGTGGGTGATGAAGAAAAAGTTACACAGGGAATGCTAAATGGTCTAATTGCAGTGGGCTGCAACTACTTGATCCTGATCATGTGTGCTGCTATAATCACAACAACATTTCATCTTGCTATGATTACAACTCAAGGCAACAACGTATATGGGACAAATCAATTGCATGAGAAGCTCATTGCCAGATTGATTCCTTTGACCACGAGAGGATTGCCCCTGCCAATTCATGGTAATGGCTCAAATGTCAGAAACTATTTGTATTGTGATGATGTTGCTGAAGCTTTTGAGGTGGTTCTTCACAAGGGTCAGGTCAGCCATGTGTATCATATCGGTACTGCGAAGGAAAGAAGGGTGATTGATGAGGCTAAGGACATATCGGTATGAGATTCTATCCTTTGGCCAAAACTGAAGCATGTTGATGTACAGGAGGATGGAAACAACAGGTGGACTAGAGATTTTTCAAGTAGAAGCATTGTATTGAAAGGGCGAAAAGATTGTGGACTTTGTTGGTGTGCACTGGATGTTATCAGGGACGTGAAAGTTGATCGGGTCCTGCAACTTTTGAAGCAATATGGTTCAGCAAAATTGGTGATCATTAATTCCTTGAGTATACCATGGGATCCAGGCGGCTCTCGTGTGACATTGGCTGGGCGTTCTTCTTGTCACATTGGCTACATTACAAGAGAAGTATTAACAGAGGAAATCAAGTATAAATCATTGCATCAAACATATCCGTTGGTGAAGTTTCCACAATTAAGGTCATCGGCTTGGGGACAAGCCGAATTTTAAGAAATGGGGATTGTTAGGAACTCTTGTGGGCTGCAATGTGGGTCAGTTCAGTGGCCTTCTAAGCCTAGCCCAACCAAGACAAGGAGGAGAACTACAAAACAGCAAAGCTACACTTTCAGGGGCTATCGCAAGATCAATTGGCGAACGGCGACGGCGGCGGCGACCTGGTGGCCAGTTGGCACCTTGTCGATTTCCTTCCAACCTACCTTCCTTCTCCCTCTATCTTCTCCATCTTCCACCACTTGTATCCCTTAGTTCATCCTCCTTCCACCTCTATTTACTGGAGTATGGTTGCTATTGTATTGGATGCTTGCATATTTGAGTGGAATTGAGATCAGAGGTTGGAGTTCCTAACACACCGCCAATGTTCGGCCCTGCGACATGAAAGGTAGGTTTCCTCCAAGACCAGCAGCAACGGTGTATAGGCTACACAGGTGATGTCACAACCATGCCACTTGCCTGCTGCTGGTGCCTCCATCTCCCTAACTCACGGAGCATTTCTTCAGATCTACAGCCATGCCATGCTGAGTCAGGTCCGATCTACAGCCATGCCATGCGGAATCAGGTCTGATCCAATTCCCTACTTGCTCCTCTCCTTTTATCCTGGTTTACTCTTTCGCTCTCCGATATTTGATTTATGGCTTGTTCGTGATTCGTTTGGTTAATCACGCATTAGTTTGTTGTTTGCACATTTAATCCTCTAAGCATTATAATTGGTTTATTTCAAATTTTGTAATATAGAAAGATTCTGCTGACTTGAAAAAAAAAGATCTGTAATAAGATGGCTGAAGTCTTCATTTCTGTCAGCAACGCGTAACTAGGCTGCACATGCTCCTTTTTCTTCCAATTCTAAATGTGAAGTTAAGATATGTGATTCACTTCCATCTTAGTTTTGAGATGCAGCGGTTCGTAGCTTCCCTTGAAAATCTCATTTGTTTTTTAATCCAATTGCAGGGTGCCGTTGCTCTCCTGGTTTGGAGGTTGGACCATTTTCTAAGTCATCTTTAGATTTCATAAAAATAATATTAAAGTGATTAGAAGAAATTAAGTTATCCTAATTCGTGTCTCAAAGTTGGTAATCGACAACACACTTCGTTAGAACATAATATGTTTTTTTTCATCAAAATCAACAGCTCTCGAGTCCAAACATCATTGGAAGCTTTTTGGCTCCATGGCAGATTATTTTTTCTTTTATCCCATAGTTATTTTTCTGTGTCGCACTGCTCTACCTCTGGAATTTTCATAATTCCATAATTCAAGCAAAAGTGTTTCAATATTTTTTTATACTATTTTTGGTAATAGCATCGATTTCATGCCAGTGGCAAGCCTATCAAGTATTTTAATCAAAGAATGGAACGCTTTTTGTAGATGTACAGGGAAAATGGAAATGGTACAGGTATTTCATATTGTCCTACGAGGTAATATTTCTTCACTCGGTAATCTGTTCAGTCAATGAAAAGTTGTGCAATCTCCTGACTCTTTCAGGACATCGACATAACTACTACATGGACAGGGAAGAGTTATGAGGTATTAAAGGCCTGAGATTCATGGAAAAACATATCCTCGGGCAACATGTTCATTAATGTACCAATGTGCTTGATAGAATCCCACTGCAAGGAAATTTGTATTGTTCTGATCAAGGCACAAGTACAGGAGAAAATTGACGTATTTTTGGATATGCAAGCACTGGGCATTCAAATAAGATCTTTTTGTCATGCTTTCTATTTTCTATTTAACTACTGGAGTATAACGTCTATTTTCCCCTGAGCCAAAATACAGATGAATTGTTCTGCAGAGTGTAAAATTGGGCACAAAAATGCTGAGTAATTGCACCATAAATCAATAAATCACTACGTACTTATACAGATTGGAGCTGTTTATTTTCCTTCCACTCAGGCTTCTTGCTGTTGGTGCAAATGGACTTGCAATCAAATCAAATGCCCTGTCATGAGAAGGAAGAGGTGGCCTGGCCAGCCGAGGTCGCGACCGATGTGCTTGCAATCAGCGGCAAAGTGGAAGCTAGAGCAGCCGGATGTCAGCGAGAGCATGCACTGCCTCAATCATGAGCTTGCATCGCCGAGCTTAATTCGGAGTCTGCCATCAACATAGGTCATCTTTCCTAACCAACCTCAATTTGTTTACTTGGTCCACATCTTTGGCTTCGTACCTCAAGTTTGATGTAATTCCTTCATTTATGCGCCGGTTAAGTTATTGCTTGGTTTGCTCTTGTTATTAATGAATTCTTACTATTTATATGAGCATCTTACATGACAAATGCAGATTGCTACTTACTTTGTCTAGGTATATTCACAAGGTCATTTTTCTTAAAAGTTGAATTGTTCCCTCTAAATGAAGGCTTATTCAACCTATAGGAATAAGTTTTTAAAAGTTGAATTGTTCCCTAGCCTGAAGCAAATCTCTTTCCTGTTTGAACTCTACAGGAATGAGCAGTAATGAGGCTTGAAGGTGATACAGTTATCGACTTGAAATTGTAGTCGGATAAAGTATTTGATTATTTGCCTCCACATTTGATTCGTATATATTAGTTTAACAAATACATAATTGAAAGTGAAGGATCTGACCTATAACTGACGCCTAATGGTAGGCATTTAAAGGAATCTGAAATTGTAACTAACTTTCTTTTGTACGAAAGAATTCAAATACATAAATGTGCAGATGCAGCGAGGCTTTTTCAGAAACAAATATGATTCTTACTGTTAAAATATCCTCTACCTGGCAGACATCTAAGGAAGTGTACTCATTTGAATTCTGATTTTGCTTTTTCTCAGGGTTGTTTCATGTTCTAAAGAGTGTCATCTGCAATGCGATAGCTTTAGAGAGATGAAAGTCCAATTATGCTAGATTATCAGTTTTTTTGCAAGGATGCTAGAATATCACTTTGACTTGTTTGGTACTGTCCAATGCCAATAGTGGCAATGAAGACAACTCTTTATACATCATCAGAGGAAATGCTGACTCCATTATTTGTGATAGAAAATGTTAAACATGGTGGAAGCAGGGGAGTAGAATGTGGAGCAAATATAAATATATTTTGAAGCTAGGCAGGACATGAGGGTGCTCATACAAAGTGATTTCTGAGAGCTCAGATTAATTTTCTATCTATAAATAACCATCTCCATAAATGGGGTATATATATGTTTTTTTAATAGAAGTTTTGCATACATTTTTTTGTGCAGTTTCTATACTCTAGCTAGCGCTGGAATGGTCCTACTTCTTTCATTTACAACATATCAGCTTGGTTTCCCATTTGGACTTAAAACTGTAAATATGGCAAGCATGTAGATAAAGTTGATCCTACATGCATGCCACAACTTATCAGACATACCGTCTGCATACTCTGATTGTACATTCATGTCCATACAGGGGAGTAAGTTCGGTAAATTCATCTTAGTGAACAGAACATTTGTGCATTTCATTCAATTTTTTGTTTTGTGGTGATGAGAAGACTATGTCATTTGTTATTCTTCTATAAGAAAATAATTTGTTATTCTTGTGTAAGAAAATTGTTTGTTATTCTTCTATCTATACTAATATAAAAAGCATGAGTTTACCCTGCAATCCAACTGGTGAAATCACCTATACCGTGTCTAATCCATCACCCACGCAATCCTTGCCGCTCCATCCTCCTGGCGCAAACAATGCCACCAGCCACCACGCCCTCCTCCCTGAATGAGCCTCATTACTCCAGTATATGCTCCTCCCTATTAGCGCCACTCCATCGCTATTCGTTGCGTTGGTCGATCATCGTTGCCACTCGCTAAGCGTCTCGACCGCTGGTTATTGTTGTGGCGCACCGACAGCTTTCACCATGACCCCCGGCCACTGGTCCTCGCTGCACGCTGCTGCATGATGGCCATGGTGGCTCTCGAGTGTGGAGACGACAGGGCGAAGGGTGGAGTGATGTCGAGGCTAGCGGAATCAAGCAGATCTAGAGGCCACGTCGCCGGCCGGCCTGTCCGTCGCCACCTAGGCGCTCGCCTCTCAGCCCTCCCGCCTTTAGCTGCTGCCGCGTCGACTGCCACCTTAGGATTTGAAGGTGGTGCTCTACAACAGGGACGGCGCCACTGTGCCACCATGGTCATGATGGCCCTGGTCCCTGGAGGTCAGGAGGGCAGGGAGGAGACCTCGCTCCGTGACCCCGACGCCGCCGCCGCCGCCGCCGGTTCCTGCACCATCGTGGGCTCGCGGCAATGTCGCCCCCTTACATCTTCTGTGCCGCGCCATCCATCACCATTCACCACGGTCACTCTGTTTCCATATCTATGTCCACGGTTCATTTGGGTTCTGGTAAGGGAGTTCCTACTCATCCGAGTCCACATTTCGGTTCTTCAGTTTTGTTCCGGTAAGGCAATTTCTAATTTTCGTTGACTGCCCCGCTTGCTGATTTCCCTTCCTACTTTTCGTGGACATCAGGAAGAGGAGGTCCACTGCCATGTGTGTGAGAGCGACTTGATCTAATTTTTCATGCTTGTGGTGTACATTGAAATTTTCTTCACGATTATCGTCCTTGCTATGAAATGCTTATGCTAATGATTTGATTGGTAATCTTTCGATATGGATTGATCACTGAATACTGATGCATTGGATCCTTGGAGTGACCGTACAATGCTTTGCATTTCTAATCGTTGTCCCCTACTTTATACTTCATTCAGTTCATGGTATATCTCATTAATCGAGAAGAAATTGATATGGTACCAAACGAGATAAGACAAACAAGTTCTTGGACTGTATGTGGTTACTTTTAAAAGTTAGCATTCTAACAAGTATGTTTGTATAACTTTTTTTCGGTTATAATTTCCTTTTTTATTTGAGTGAATGCTCAGGTTATAATTTTAATAGTATATTGTTATCTAAATAAATGCGGCGCGAAGGTCATGAGGTAGTTCTGAAATTTCAGAGAAATCTTCGAAGATTTATATTTGGAAAATTCATAAACAGAGATAATGGCAAATCCCTGGTTTTTGACCATGGAACTGGAGAGTACATTTATCACCAATGTTGCATTAGAGTTTGTTTTCAATATCTGGAAATTTTCTTATTAATTATTGGCACCGTGTACATGAAGCTTTTATTGTTGAAGTCTCAATTAACTTCTTACTCCATTTTGTGTTCCATGGAATATTCTTCTCCTTTTCATCCCTGAAGCTAATTTTTGTGTCTTCTTTTTATCAGGCGAGTGAATGAATTTTCTTTTAATTAGAAAGGTTACCCCCTCCCATTTCTACTAAATTAAACTGATATGTTTACAGCACAAGAGTCATCCAGGCTAACAACAAGAAAACGAAGAACTGATTTTACTTCTTCATAAACAGGTGCAGAAATTAGATAGAAAGATAACACAATATTAAGATTGCTAGAAAAGAGTTCTAGTTTGCATGGAGCAATAACCCTTCCAGTCCGTCAGTTCCATATTACTGAATGTAAATTATCGGTAATAAGAAATATCTCATAGTTTCTTATTACCGAATGCTAATCCATTGATTTAATTTCAGTTCTGGGCTTTTGTCATCATGTATAAACAAATAATACCTTCGAGGATTTTATTGCCTTCTTAGTTCAATTTTGGTAATATATTTCTCCCATGATGGGAATCATGTCCCTTTTTACAGCTTACATCAAGATTCTTAAACTAGACTGTTCATTTTACTTCTGCAGATTATTTCACTACTTTCTTGGTTTTATTTCCTGTCATCAGATTTTACATTCACATGTACAAATGAAGTAATGGTTACCATTATTTTTGCTTGCTCTATATGTATGCACCCATATGGCTTTTTACTAACCAAGCCGTAGTATACTGGTATCTGATCCGGCTAGCTTGATCCTCATATCCTTCCATACATTATGGCATTTCCGTTTGCCAGCCAATGGAGTGCGCTCCTTTTTGCTCTATCCTTTTTTTATATAAAGTTTTATTGTGCTCCCCTGTATTTTCCAATATTGTGATTCCTTCAACAGATCCACACATTGCTTACGATACATGACTTTAGTTTTTTTGTCTAAAACTTGATGTGCGCTTTTCTTTTGCAGTATTTTTGTTGAAGTCAAATTTCAATGGCAAATCAATTTAAACCATCTTATACTTAAATGGCTGGGAAGTTAGCTATAAGCAGGTGATGGAGATAATTTTGTTGTAGACATAGGATTGAGCTCACTTCTGTTGACATCAATATAAGCACACAAGGTTCAAGAAAGTTTCAGTAAGAAAATTGTTTTTTAGTTCACAATAACGATGTGTTGATCTCTTTTGAGATTGTTGTTGCAACTCCAGTCCCGTACATCACACGTAGTTAATAGCTCAGTTATTTCTGAATTTTGATACTACTTTTAGAGCTACTGACCTAAAAATTCCTAAATTTATAATATGATTATGAATTTCCCATGATATATTTTATGGAAAATGTGCATTGCATGTGCACGCTTACTAGTATTGAACAAAATTATTTTGTGGTTTACTTAGTAACCATGATTCATTGATTCCATCCAAGTTCCCGTTAAAATTTTCTCCTTTGTGCGCTTACATAGAAATTGTGTTGAGAAATATAAAAAAATGTATGCCCTTTATTATCATTTGTACTCCAGGTTAATGGTGTAGATCCTCTGGTCAACCATTTCCACCATCACCCTCTGGATCAAGCAGTTGTCATCCTCAAGATTGCCCCACAACTATTGAGGTTGAGTTCGCATGTCGCCACTACCCTCGAGTTCCCCCGCTAGCTACTATTTCTAAACGGGTGAGAATCCTATATCATAATGTCGCTACCATTACAGTCATTGGTACACGGGTCTCAACTTATTATTGCCCCACACGTCAGTTTCTATAATGATAGTGTTATTATAGTAGAGGATGTGAACCCATCCTAAATAGTGACATTGATACATCTTCATCGCTGTCACTGTCTCCAAATCCGACAAATGATATACTAGCAGCAGCGTAATGGAACTAGAGATGGCAATGGTTCCCTAGTCCTTGGATTCCCCGCGGTGAATCCTCCCATTAGGAGGAGGGGGTGGTATAAAATATGTCTCCACGGAACATTAAATGGAGTAAAAACACTCTCCATCGGGTCTGGCGGGGGCGGGTTTGGTTCACCATCCCTCGTCCCCGCTCTCCGTGGAGGTCCGACGTAACAATGTATGTGTAATATTATCATGTATATTTGGCCCATCTAGCCCATAGAAACTAGGCCCAAAACGTAGAGTATATAAAGTATCTACAAAACCCTAGCCATTCCAATCCCTTCTCCCTTTCGTCCCCATTCCCCACGCCGTCGCAGGCTCGTAGCCTAGCTAGCGGCGTGCCGGTGCCGACTCCCGATCTCAATCTCGTAGGGCCGCCGCGCGCCTGCCGCGTCAGCACCCTCGCAGGGTCGCCGGCTTGTCGTGCTCGCGTCCGCGCAGGGCCGCTGCGCCTCCAGGTCTCGGCACTGCCGCACCAGGTCCCAGCGCCACAGTCGTCTCGGTCTCTCGGCAGCACTGAGGACGCCAAGGACTTGGCACCGGCCACCAGACGTTGGGCTCATCCTCCACTGTCCATCCATCCATTCTGAATTTCTGATCCGTCATCTGGGCTTATTTGTTTTACTGATGGTGGATGCAGGTGAAGGCTACGGTGGCAAGAAAGACCTACTCCGAACTATGTTTTTGTGTATGCCTGGACAACATGTGTAGCGGTGATAACTAATGAGTGATCGACTGGTGATTGATTAATGATCATGTGTTATTGTGTTGTTGCTTAATATGAGAATTTGATGGATAGTGTTGCTGAGGGGAAATTCTTGGGTACAAATTTGTTGTACTGCTTGTTGCTGCAATGCTGTTGCAACTGAATAAGTAATAAACTGATGATGTGCATTTGTGAATTTGTGAACTTGTGATATGAATTTGTGAACTTGTTTTCTTGTATAATTATGTTGTTGTCATGTGCTGAAATTGCATGGCCAGAATTGCTATTTTGAGTGATAATCTTTTTATCAAAATTATTGTTTGATATGTGAAATATATACATGAGACTCGCGGGGATGGAGGCTCCACGGAGGCGATGATGGTGAAAGATGTTACCCCGTTGCATTTCACGGTGATGGTGATAGGGGAAATTCTCCTCCACCGAGGCGGGTCTGGTGGTGTAACCTCCGACGGAGAATTCCCCGTTGCCATCTCTAAATGGAACAAGCATGCTCGGCCCGATGGATCTGTACGTGCTCAACGCCAAGCGCACCAAAGGTCTTAGGCTCGATTGATATTGATCACTTACCCAATTAAATATTAAATCACTTATTCCTTTTATGTATGTAAGCAAGCATCAGATAGAGCCCTGGTACACGTGAAAACGCATGCAGTGGCAGAGGATTCAGGGGGATGACGAAGAAAGTGGATGGGGAGTTGCGATTGCCAAGATCATTGATGCCGTTCTCAATGTGGGAAAACACATAATAGATATAGGGTGTGTTTAGTTCACGTTAAAATTGAAAGTTTGATTGAAATTGGAATGATGTGATGGAAAAATTGAAAGTTTGTGTGTGTAGGAAAGTTTTGATGTGATGTAAAAGTTGAAGGTTTGAAGAAAAAGTTAGGAACTAAACTAGGCCATATATGTAGGTGTTGATGAACTTGACTGCATGTATTGGCCTGTTCAAGTTCACTGTCATTGGTGCATGGAGCATATAAATACACGCGAAAACTTTTCATTATATCAGATCGTGAATATTTGGACACATGTATGGAGTATTAAATATAGATAAAAAAAACTAATTACACAGATTACGTGTAAATTGCGAGACGAATCTTTTAAGCCTAATTGCTACATAATTTGATAAAGTAGTGCTAAAGTAAACATTTACTAATGACGGATTAATTATGTTTAATAAATTCGTCTCGCAGTTTACAGGCGAAATTTATAATTTATTTTGAGTATACGTTTAATACTTCTAATGTGTTCCCGTATATCCAATATGGCACGCTAAAACTTTTCACCCGTGAATCTCCTAGCCTAACTTAAACACTCTCAAACAGACATGTAATTACAGATGCACACATGCTGTCACACATGCAAGATTAGATCGATATAATCAACTTTATCCAATTTTAATTGCTCCATCACTAGCTAGCCATTGTTTACACGTTCCCTCCAATAAATCGCCATCGACTTCACTGCTGCCACTTCCGTCGCCACCGACTCAGCTGCCGTTGCCACCGCCGTCGTCGCCACAACTGTCATCTTTGGTGCCGCCACTATACGATGTCCCAGACAAGACAGTGAGTTTAAGTTCAACTAGCAATAATCACGCGCTACGCTGCGTGTGGATTTGAAGGTAACATCATACTCAAAGCAGCCCAAAATGGTTACAGTTGTCAAGTTTGCGCCAAGAGCATACTTGCATTTACACTTTATTAATATTTTCAAGATCAAATGTGAATTGTTCTGATCGGTTCGTTCAGAGAACAATTTGTACAACCAATGCACAGTAGTGTAAAAGCCTTTCCAGTGTGATGTAGATTACAGAAAAAGATCAATGTTGAGTCGGTAATCATTAGAAGGCAAGGCGCATACCTGAAAATTTTTCATATAGAAATCTTCATCACGAAACAATGAGATCTTTTCACATAGCACCTGCATTGTGAAGGATATTTTAGTGTTTCGGCGCAATAAAAACAACAGTATATAACCAAATGTATGTGCAGCAATTTAGATGACTGCTGCTTACTTGGAAAGTGCCAGTGACTACTGAGCTATGTCCAATAGGCCAACATTATGTCCAAGAGTTCGGTTTTACATGCATGAAGTGGAAACAAAATGTTGCAATTTCGATTGATTAAGCGCAAAAATAACTAATGAAATCATAATGTCAAGTCAACCTATGATGCAAACTTCATAGAAGTATATGTAAAAACAGAGATTCAATTTGAAAGATGATGGGTCAGTAGCAAATTCCAGAAATATCGCTGTAAGGAAAAAAAAGAAAGAAAGACCCCATGTGCACCTATTGAAGCATATTTTTTTTATATCCATCATTTAGAGACTTATTTAGTATATCTGACAATTGTAGTTGCTATGATTAATCGAATTTACGGAGACTACCTAGATGAGATGGCCAAGAGACTTTTAGCATGATATGATATACTTACCTTAATCGTGGCCAAAAGACTTGAAACATGATATGATATAGTTGCTCTGAGGTATGGAGGTATGGCTATTTAAAGTTATTTGCATGATCCAAATATAGGGGTAAAAGGTGGGGGGGGGGGGGGGGGCAGCAAATCAGCAGAAAAATTATCATAGATGGGAAACATACCAGATGGAGCATGTGGTTGCTGATTTACATTCCATGCCAAGGAATAAAAGGGAACATATAATTTATAAGTTTGTATTGTCCACTTGCTATTTAAATTCAGAATATGTAGATTATTTTAAAGTAATGATATTATCTGAATATCCTTTTTCCAGAATATGCAGACACATTTCAGGTTTATAAGCTTGAAAAAAAAGGCACTAACGAACATTCCATCGTTGGTCAAAGAATCCCATCATAGATCAACTGGCCTAAAAAAGAAGAAAAATAAGTGTTTCATGCATAGAAAGTGGTTTCAATTTTATATCCATCTGTTGGATATTAAGACAAAACTTGAAGGAGAATAACTATTCCACATTGGTTCCAGATAATTAATTACATCCTTTTCATGAGAAAGCAACAATTAACAATTACTTTTGTTCCCCATAACACATTGGGCCAGCTGTACTTCCCAACTATCATGAACAATTTGTTTAAACAAAAATTAGCAATAAAGCACATGGGACATTATTCAAATACCAGTATGTCCACTATCATTGTCAGTAAGTTCCAAACACTGTCAATGGATTGTAGTTCCTACACTATAAGAACTACCTCATCCAATATCCTACTATCCCCAACTGGTTGTCAATAACTGTAAGCCTACCTGACCATTTGAAATAAAATATTTGATAGTTTTGGAACACAGGTAGCTGCTTAAATAGTATATAGTCTTCAATATGAAATGTCACATTTTAGCAATATGACTATGCATGTAGCATGTTAAGCATATTTCTCTTATCAATAACTATTTCAATTCTAAACAAAAACTACAACATGAGTATATGTTTTTCTTTATTGCCTAAATTCACACACCTCAGATGAGATACCATACTTCCCAAAAATGCATTAGTGCTCGTACAGAGAGAACCTAGCTAGTATTTCTTAGTATACCTCTAGCTAAGAAGAGGAACCAAATTAGGCGACAAAGACTAATGCACCTCGTGCAAGCTGGTGTATAATAAAAAAAAGTCCCATGGCTACAGCATAGGACAATCTTTGTTAAAATTCCAGTTCTAAATAGGTTACAATGACTTCGTATGATGTTCAAAAAAAGTAATTGATTCGTATTGAGGCAAAACAAAACTTACATAGATATGTTCCACTTCATATGCACTGGGAGGGATACCTGCATCTAGAGAAGCTTATAAGCACTGATAAATAAAGAACAGTAGGGCATTTAGGGCATTTATAGTATGGTCTGAAAGGCTTTGAGTTGGATCTGCACTATTATGTTTCTTGTGTACATAATATGAACTGAATCAGCCCAAGAAGAACTTTACCTTGGCAACCAAAGAGAATCATTACATACATGTCAAAGGTATCCTAAGCTTGATATAATGAACGAAAGCCCCAAATCGCATAAATATGCCCTGCATCACAAATGGGAACAAATAAACCTATCAACAATATCGTTTTGCCCTCCAAAGTTGTATATGCAATTCCTAACTGAAACAATTAATCACAGCATAGAGAATTTTGAGTAGCAGCGTGTGTTGTTTCAAGCTAAACAGTTTGATCACACATGACAGTGTTGAAGTACATGCAGAGGGAAATTTCTCCACACAACCTACACACTATAACTGAATAATGCCATACACATTAAAAGCAAATCAAGACTGGCACTGTAACTAAATCAAGGCTTACACATTAGAAGCAAATCACGGTTGTAATCATCAACAACTAAGGTCCAACCACTTCCTTCTCATGGCCCTATGACACTGAGCTAGAACGAAAAGGAAAAAAGAGAACAGGAACGACCAGGCAGCTATTGTCGCGGAGCCGCAGCTGTCTTCATCGCGGTCCTGGTCAAGCCGACACTCTCCCTTCCCTTCTCATGGCACTGAGCGAGGCTCTCATGGAGAGGGAGAGGAGAAGATGGCAGTGGCGGCGGCCGGAGAGGGACAGGAGAAGAGGGCAGCGGCGGCACCCTATTGACTCCATCCGGGCGACCGATTCAACTGGAGGGGAGGCCAAGATTGATGAATCAGACGGTCCCCGAGCCATATTTGACACCGCAGAGAGGGAGCGGCGGTGGCAGCACGGTAGAGGAGAAGGGAGCTGCGGCGGCGACGGCGCTTGCGAGCGGAGGAGGTGGGCGTCTGGGCGCCGGATCCGCCGGCGAGGAGACCGGGGTCACCGGATCCGGCGGTCCCGGCCTCCTCACTAGGAGATCCGGCGGGTCATTGGGAGGGAGCGGCGGCGGCAGCACAGTAGAGGAGAGGGAGCTGCGGCGACGACGGCGCACGCGAGCGCAAGAGGCGGGCGAGGTTGCGGTGCGAGCTGAGGAGGTGGGCGACGGCGCACGCGAGCGCAGGAGGCGGGCGAGGTTGCAGAGCGAGCGGAGGAGGTTGCGGCGCGCGTGTAGGGAGAGGAGAGGACGGGCGGCTAGGGTTTGTACCGGTTGGCGAAATCCAGGCCGTCCGTCCATAATCCGACGATCGCACGGGTAAGGAAGGGCCAGCACAGCGGGACACGTGGACGGCCAGATTGACCCTACGGTGAGATCGGACGGTGGAAAGAAGCGAGGACCGGCGCATAATTATCCGAAAGTGCAGGGGTTTTTTCGCCAAAATTGATGATGTGGCACTCTACTCTTCCCGCGTTCCCACGGCTTTTAAGTAAACCTATATATTAACTATTTAGTATTCGGTTAACCTTATCTTGAGAGGTAGCTACAAAATTATGGTGCAATACATCTGTTCAATACTAATTTAGTACTTCATCCGTTTCACTTTATAAAACATCTATTTCCTTGTCTAAATGCAACATCTATATGAAATTATGTGTCCAAATTCATATCGAACCATACATGAATCTTTTTAAAATCCAAAAATTCTTATAATATAAATAATTAATTATCACACTCCGATTAACGACAACTTGCTTTCATTAGGCCCCCTCCAATATGAGCCAATCATGTATTTTCACCACGCTTTAGGACTTTGGCATAGCATATGTGCTGGCCACATGGAAGTGATGCAACAGTTAACAACGCTTTGCTAAGATTAGAATAAGGCAACATTGAAGTGATTAATGGGGTTGTTCTCAGTACTAACTCTGTTTTCTTAGGTTTCGTTCATGGACGGTAGATATGTTCAAAGTTCGTTTCTAATTTTCTATGTTGCTTAATACTTGTTTCTAAATCAGCTCCAAACTCTTAGTATATAGCATAGAATAATGTGAAATACCATGATGTATACAAGTAATTCAAGAAGCTATTTCTGTGATATGAATGCAGTCCGGCCATCGAAAAAAGCAAGAAGTTCCAAATGTATGGATAATATGCACACCTTTATTGTATTTCAATCTATTTAAATATGCCAACCACTTACACTTAATTTATTTGGATAATTATTTTTTTCACATGTAAAATTATGAAAAAATTGATGTGAGTTGGCATGGAACTGAATCTCAATTTAATTTAGACATATATACAAATTAGGCAAATTTTGCTATAGGACATCACGACTTCGTGGTTTTAGCCGTAGGACACCGCACAAACTCACTTTTAGGGGAAAAAACACTCTTTAAACGTGCTTATTTGCCACTGGACACCACGTCCATTAAAATATTAATTTTCGGTTGAATAGAAGAGATAAATAGTATGAAAGGTCAAAAATACCCCTGACCCCACTTGTCATATTCTTCCTCTTCCTCCTGGTTGTGCAGCTTCTCCCCGGACTGTTGCCGGTCCAAGTGCGTCGGCTGGAACACGCTCATGGATTCCCTGCCTGCTATGTCCTGCTCGTAGTATAGGTCCTTGATCCTCTCGGAGTAGGCGCCATGTAGCGACACGACGAGCACCGGCTTGCGCCTCCCCGGCCGCGCCGCCCGGCTGCTCTCCGGCAGTGGTAAAGTTGAGCTCCTGCTGCACACGGGGCAGGATGTTCTCTCCATGCGCGCACAACATGATCTGGCCGTAGAGCTCGTCGGTGGAGATGCGCGCCAAGTAGAAGGAGCACACCTGGATGCCGACACGCTACTCAGTGTAGGCCATGTACGAGGCATGGTACCACGTTCCTCGGGTGGAGCAGGTAGCGGCCGAGGAGGTGGAACGCAGCATCGTGGCACGGGAACATCCGCGGCAGCACGCGCTCGATGCGCGAGACCAGGAACAGTCCGAGCACGAAGTAGTTGTCGGAGAGGAGCACCATCCAGTCGACGCGCCACAATGCGTCCAGCCCGTCGTCGCAGAAGAAGCGCGGCTCATTGCCGTTGCGGTTGAAGTACGTCGTGCTGCAGGTGCATGTACATCCATGGCGGTAGTGGGTCTCGGGCAGCGCGTTGCCGCGCCGCAGCGCGTTGCCGAGGCTCTCGCGGGTGCACGCGTTGAAGCCCCGGATGCCGGAAAACGGGAAGTCCCCCTCCGGTAGTGTCCACGTTGAGCCCGGGAATTGCTCGCAGATGAGATAAGGAAGAAGAGAGGATGGGGAAGAGAAAGGAGGGGTAATTTGGTTACTCTGCATAAAAATATGGGCCCGTGTCGCCTTGTCAGCACGAATACGTTATTTTAATAGGGGCAGTATCCGCTGGCAAATAACCACATTTAGAGAGTGTTTTCTCCTAAAAGTGAGTTCGTGCGGTGTCCTACAACTAAAATCACGAAATCGCGATGTCCTGTAACAAAATTTGCCTACAAATTAACGCCGATGGCACAACAGAAAAAAGTAAATCACTATTTTTATTTTATACTCCCCCGTCTAAAAAAACAGACCTAGAACTGTATGTGATACATTCTAATACAACAAATCTGGATAGAGTTATGTCCCAGATTTGTAATAATAGGATGTGTCATATCCAGTGCTAGATTGGATTTTTATGGAACGGATGGAGTAACTATGATATATGTTTGTGCTCGTGATTTTGCTTTTATAATTGTAGTCGATCATCTACGGAACTATTTATGTGTGTATATGTAGCCATTCTATATCTATATATTAGACACTACCACTCCCCTCTCTCTCTACGTTATCTCTTTTCTCAGCCTTCCCGGCTTACCACCTTTTCCCCACCTTCTTCCCTGCTTCCCCTCCTCTCCACCGTCAACAGCGGGCGTCGGTGGCGGCCCCGTGGGTGCGCCTCCACGCCACCCGCAGCACCCAGGATGAGGAGGTCAAGGTCGACGCCACCATGTTCGACGGCGCCGCCGTCCCGCCCCCAGACGCGCCCCTCTTCCGCCGCGTCGAGTCGCTCGACCACGTCCCGCGCCTCCACCTCGGCCTCATCATCGAGGCCTCTACCGCGACATGTTGCACCAGCACCAGAAATCATGTTGTACGGAAGCTTTTGTGATTTTGCTCTCTGGTTTATGTGGTTTGTGAAGTTCCACTTCTGTAAATGATTCGCAGCAAGCTGGAGGCTAGGGAGAGGGAGTACGTGAGGAAATTCTTGCAGGAGAGGGCGGCGGCGGCAGCGGCGGCCGGGCGAGGCGGCGCTCCCACGGGAGATTCACGACGAGATCGGCCTAGAGTTCCTCGGCAACGTCACCGGCAAGCCATACACGCTCCACGCCAACATCTTCGCCAACGGCGTCGGCAGCCGCGAGCAGCAGTCGTCGCATCTCCTCCTGGTCGTGGTCCTCATCGTGCACATCGTCGCTCGGCTCCCTTGACGACGATGCCGTCGTTGCGTGCGTCGTCAAGGCGGCGGCGAGCGGGCGAGCGGGCGGCGGCCATTTTCACTTTTTTTTTGTTTTTTTTCCGTGCGAGCGGTATAATATGACCGCATCGGGATAATCGATTATCCCGTGCGGTCCATTATCCCATACGGTTGGGCCGTCCGTACGCGAAAATATTGATTTTTTCAGACATTTGGGTATAGACGGGCAAATCCTCCGCACAGAAAAATCATTTTGACCGCAAGGAAAAATGGTTTTCGCAGTAACGAGAGACCGAAGAAGATTGTACAATTATTAATTGGGTAATTTGTAACCATGCCATTATAATTTTTTAAAGTTTAAGATATGCCATCGGTATCTCAATGACACGTAGGACCCACATGAATCAATGACATGTGGGTCAGGATGGCATATCTCAAATTTTACAAAATTATAATGGCATGGTTACAATTTTCCCTTATTAATTTATGTTCGCATCGCGTGCGGTTTGATAAGTGATTTAACTAGGTTCCTTGTTTTGTCTAAAGCACCACCACCAGAATCATCAGTATATTTTACTGTGGATTTTGGAGTACAATTAAAAATTCTATTACACTGACTTAAAATTTGAATGACTTTTACCTTTTTAAACTCTATGGATGAACCCTAAAAAAATAATTGCCGAACAAAATATTATTTCAAACTGGGAGATGATGTGGCAGTTTTTTTTAATTTTATACAGTGGATTTTTGGAGTACAATTATTTTACCATTGGCAAGATGAGCATATATTATTTTTTTAAAACTTTAATTTGTTGGATGGATAGTATGAGTACATTTTATACAATCTATATGTTCTTTTATACAGGCTCTGTGTACAGCTCAGATGATGCACTTTTCCTGTGTGAAACTCTGAAGTATGATTCATGTCAGGCACGTTTTTTTAGGATAATGTCACGTGCCTCTTTTATTTTTTGCCACGTGTTTGAAAATTATTTTATTTTAGGATTTTTATTCATATTAAAATGGATTGTCCATTTTATTTTTTTTATATGTATGACTATAGTGTACTTTGAGATATGTATGAATATGTGTAGCCATTCTATGAAGCTTTTTATTCGGTCATTCTATATCTATATAATGATTAATTTATGATGATTAATTTATGTGTGCATGCGTACAGTTTGATAAGTGATTTTGGTATTCGGGCCTTGGCCGTATTTAGTTCCTCCAAAATTTTTTTGACACCACAGACACACATTTAAAGTATTAAACATAGACTAATAAAACAAATTACAGATTCCACCTATAAACTGCGAGACGAATTTATTAAGCCTAATTAATCTATCATTAGCAAATATTTACTGTAGCACCACATTGTCAAATTATAGCGTAATTAGGCTCAAAAGATTCGTCTCGCAATTTACATGCAAACAATGCAATTGATTTTTTTTTCATCCACATTTAATGCTTCATGCATGTGTCCAAACATTTGATGTGACGGAATTTTTGGAAGTTTGAAGGGAACTAAACACAACCCTTATTTAGATCCCAAAAAATTTTGGCCAAAAACGTCACATCAAATGTTTGGACAAATGCATGGGGCATTAAATGTGGAAAAAAAATCAATTGCATAGTTTGCATGTAAATTGCGAGACGAATCTTTTGAGCCTAATTATGCCATGATTTGACAATGTGATGCTACAGTAAATATTTGCTAATGACGAATTAATTAGACTTAATAAATTCATCTCGCAGTTATAGGCGGAATCTGTAATTTGTTTTGTTATTAGTCTACGTTTAATAATTTAAATGTGTGTCCGTATACTTCAAAAACTTTGCACCCAAACAACTAAACACACCCTCAGGCAATATAACTTGGTTCTTTTTTTCTCTAATGCAGCACCACCATAGTCAACTGTAGAGTTATCCCTTGGTATGTGAAGTGATGATCAGAGCCAATGTACCTCTCAAACCGACTCACAAATGGATATCATCATTGTTGAAAGAAGGGTTTCATCGGGGTTTTAACCGATGAGGTATGTAGATGTTGCATCGGCTTACAAAGATTGCATATAAGTTGGATTTAGCCATTCGCAACAAAGGTTTCACTGTTTATCTAATCTTGTGGATTTTATGACATGGGACCTCCAGCCAATATATGCTTTAACCATCGGAATATTTATTTTATCATATCATTGTTAGCCGATTAGTTTCTACTGGATTATATTATTGTTATTTATCATCATCGGCTGATGGCCTTTATGTCATTTATTTACTCAAGTATCAGACTTTGCATTGGACATATAGCCGATTGCTCAAAACCCTATCAACATCTGCTGGTATCGGCATCAGTTGGAATTACTCCGTCTGCTTGTCAGCCAATCGGCTCATTGATCTACTATTTGCATATCTTATCAGTTGCAGGATCAAACTGACTGACACTTCTGCATCTCATCAACCTTTTGACCTGCACTGGAGCTAAGTAGATCTCCCATGCCGTTGGGTTTGTTGACTTAATTTTGCGCCAACACAGTTCTGGCACCATCGGCCGAGCGCGGTTTTTTCGTCAACAGGGGGTAAAATGAAAAAAAAAGGAGATGCTAAGGTGCCTATTTTTTCCTCTCAGGGTGGGATGAGGATTTGTGGAAGGATTCCTTAGAAAAGAAGTTTCTTGAAGGGTATTGAAAATATTTCGCAAACTGAGGAAATAACGGCTAGAAGCATCGGAACGAAGAATTGAACGGCTAAAGTTCCCTTAATGACGTGGTGTTGTATTTTGCAAGGAAAGGTTTCACTTTTCACTTATTTAGATATAACACACATGCATGTATTTTCGTGCAACTAGTGACTTGCAACACATGATCCCTGCTAGATGCCTGTTGGCAGTCATTAAACCCTAAAATCACCACCAATATTATAATAAAAATATCACATAAAGCATGTTACCTAGGTCGATTTTGCCTTATTTCAATGAGTTACACGATTTCTGTTGGATTTCACTACGCGTATAATAATTCACGATTTTGACCTATTTTTTTTCCAATGAAAATCTGGCATTTTAAGCCAAAGGGCTGACCAGCCGACCAACATACCTCATGGGTCAACCGGCCTAAAGACTTGGCCGACTAGCCAACTCAGGGCTCGGCCAGCTATTTGGAAACGTGTCCTGATTGGCCACCCTCCTCACTGAGCCGGCTGGCCTGCGCAGCACGATGTGAGGCTAATGATTGATTGGTGGACCCCATTCTGGGAGTGATGTCTTCTCGGATGAGTAACATGTAGACTTACTTTTCCCTCTTAATATTTTATTCATACATTATGCTTATTGCCATACTTTTTTTCCTAGTTCTCTTCTAAGTTTATTTTTTATGCTTGCTTGAGTGGATGCCTCATTTATAATTAAGCTGGGAACATGTATAGTTCTATGTGTGGGTGTGGTGCTTAGGAATAGTTTTATCTAGGAAGGCTGGTTGGGGAAACAGAGGACGTAGTTGGCCGGGTGCCGACAGCCTCGGTTGTCCTTTGAAGCCAGCCACGTTAACCCTAATTACGCTGACGCAAATAGGTAGACCAATGCTTAATGTGGAAAGCAGTCCTGTTTCCAAAGCAAGCAAGGATAAGTGTAGCTAAATGGATTTCCTAGAATGAAAGCAGTCTTGTGATGTGGGGAATAACCCGGGGACTTGAATCCTGACTAATTCGATGATTTCACAACCATATCATCACATTCACACAACAAATACATATATATAGACAATAATGTTCACATTTCTAAGTGTTAACAAAAGACACACATCACATTGGACTAACTGGTCAAATAAAAGAGAGTCAAACATAGCGCAATAAGAGAACAAAAAAATATATACATTCTTTAGTATGCCATCTAACTAACTAGGAATTACTACCCATGTCGAAACGCGGATGACCGCACCGAGAAGGCAAATTCTTCTTTGCCAATCGAAGAGCACAAACAAGAATGAGATAGAATACAACCAAAATTACAGATGAATGATTAAGCTCACAAGTTGGGGTCTTACAAACCGATCTAGCGGCGAAACTATTCTCGACAGAATATTCTAAGCAAAACCCGACTCTAAACGATGACGGCTACTTAATTAATATGATTAGGGACGTCCTAGGGTTGCCCTAGGGCGCACACCCTCATGGGCTAAGCCCACGACACAATTATAAGGCCCAAAACCCAAATCAGATTTGGATTGGATGAGATACATAACTTGTTTTGTAGATTCCCGACAGCTCGGTAGGAATTTTGACGTAGGACCAAAACCATCTAAAAGTAGACTCCATAAGCTTTCCAACAAGTACTCATAGGCCCCGAAATTCCTTCTAGATCAACATCTAGGTTCGTTTGAAGTTGATGCTGTCAGGAGGCCCGAATCCGAATCCAAAACGTGTAGAACTTGATCTCTTGTCTTCTATGGACCAAAAGTGACGTGGTGAGGTAGAAGTAGACTTGGAGAAGGTCTTGGTTTGGTCCCCAATCAACTTCTTTGATCATCCATGCATTCGTTACGCTCGGTCTCTTTTCCTTCGCCCAAGCAAGTACCTCTACAAACAAAAACACATCATTGTGTAGCAACGTTTGTTCAAATATATAACAAGTAAATCTAATGTAGAACATATGTACCTTTGTTTGATTAATATATAAGGTATCCATGGTTATATCCAAACTAGTAGTGTCCTCATCACCTAGCTAGAAGTATCATGACGCTAATGGTGGTGGATAGAAAATGGCAAAGGAAGGGAGATAGTGCTGTTTCCAAAGGCAGAGATGAAGTAAAATAGGGTTCAATGTAAAACAAAAGGGAGAGAGAGAGAGAGCTCAAAGTGAAAAGAATGTGTAAAGGAGGGCAAAAGTGAAACTTTTGTAGTAAAGAGGTCCACATTGCAAACCATCTCTATGTTTTAAGTTTTGATGCATGTAAAAATAATGTGACTGTGACATCCCGGCCCAATTTGGATTAGGCCTGTGTGGCCCATGTGAGTTGTGTGCGTATGTTTAGTACGACCTTATTAGTTTAGCATGAGTGGAACTAACTTATAAGGCCTCTTCCCTCCAACCATACCCTTTTACACGAAGCGAGGACGAAAGTGTAAGTGGAGTGATGTGTGTAAGTGGGCCCGCTACGTGGTTCTGGAGGGAGGGCTGTAACAAATGGTATCGGAGCCGACCCTTGCGATTGCGCGTACGGGTCAGTGTGCGGGCATATGGCGCTGGCACTGGACGTACGGATGTGCGCTTCGCGGTTGCGCGTACAGGTCAGTGTGCGGGCATATGGCGCATGGCGCATGTGGGCTCTGTGTGAGGCACATGGCATGGCATATGGCGCTAGCACTGGACGTACGGATGTGCGCTGAGAGGGGGTGTGTTCCTGGACAGTTGCCTATATGCCTGTGTGGCTACATGGGTAAGTTGGGCCGACAGGGATGTCGGGTCCTTTGAGGGGGGGGGGGGTTGTGACATCCCAGCCCAATTTGGATTAGGCCTGTGTGGCCCCACTCCCGGGTTAACCCTTTTATACGAAGCGATGACGGAAGTGTAAGTGGAGTGGTATGTGTAAGTGGGCCCGCCCGTCGGATGGGCTGGCTACACGGTTCTGTAGGGAGGGCTGTGACAGTGACGTGGTCATCACTTCCAACTTAAATGCTAAAAATATTGTTCTCAATTTGTAACCTCCATTGAGAGTATTATCATGTTCTTAGTAATTGCTTATTGATATTTTTATGGAAAAAGAGGTGTAGGCAATCTTCTTCACATTATTCATTACAGTAAGATCGTTACACATTTAGTTTACTTCTCGTTGATCTGCCACTCAGCATACTGTTGCGGCCCACGCCTCGGAGCAAAGACAGCCATCTCATCGCCGCGGTTGAACTTTACATGCCTAGAGTCCTCCCTTGAAAGCCTATAAGCATTGGCGACCACGTCAACGGGTAGAGCACGAAGAATGGAGGCCTTCCCTGCGATCTGACTGTCGACAGCATTGTGATTGGTCTTGAAGGATACCCATGCAAATCCTTCACGTCGAGCCTTCACCACCACTGCAAAGTTCTGTGGGATCAACAAGATCTGCTGTTGGTGAAGCTCACCATCAAAGACACTCCTACCACGGTGATCCACCACCTGGATGTGCCCTTGGCCAGCGGTCACGTACATCACCGTGTGTGCGTTTACCGTCCAATGAGGAGTAAGCAAGGCATTCTACAAAAATGGAAGTGAATCAACATGACAAATACTTGGCATAAACTACATACATTATGCTTACAAACTATAGTAATTTTCTCTTTGTTTATACTCACATTTTGGAGAACGATTCTGGTGGCACTCATCTGGATGATATTGAGTATTGGGAAATTCTGGCTATTGGCCCTTGTGATCCTTCCACCATGGGGGTTAAATATGTCACTGGATTGTGGGTTGTCTATGTTCTTCCTCAACTTAAATGCACACATAATTTCATCTAGGACATTTTGCTGGCCGCAAGCTCCACCACTTCGCAACCAGGTGGGCTGTAGCTGCTTGGTTGGCAAGTAAGCTTGGGTTTGTTCCTCTTTCACTGGCTCAACTTGGAGAGAGGGCTGCAGTGCCTGGAGCCCATTTTCAACTCTAATGATGGCACCTCTTGGGTCACTCAGGCCTTGGAGCCTCAACACAGTTTGCTTGCTCACACTCAGGGCTTCAGAAAGTAAATCTGGGCTGAACCCAGCAAAGATGTTCTGATTTCTGCTCAGTTGTTCTGTCTGGTATGAGTACGATTGCTGCTGCCAGCTACTTCTAGGCTTTCCAGCCAAGAAAAACTCCTAACCCATTTATCATTTCATAGTATACAATACACATTAGCATTTTGTTATCATTGAAATCAAAATAGTGATATGGAATATTCATTATGCTTGTGTGGAGCATATGTACGCATACCCTTCTTTTAGGATCGAGCTGGTTGGCATTGTTGCTGGTGTCGATGACAGTGAAAGCAACCACAGGAGAATCACCATTGTTATATAGCCAGTGGGCTACTCCAGCTGGCACTGCGATTACATCACCTTGGTGGAATTGGTGAAGTTGCTGGTGCTCGTCTCTCATTTTTTGGATTGATGATTGAGCCTCACCAGCTGTTGCCACCTCTTGCTCAAAGGGAGACCTAACTGACTGGAACGTCTCTGGACAACCAGGCAGTGCCATCCCAAACACTCCCCGACCTGCAATATATCCACTCAATTAAAAAAACCCCACATATTATCAATTAAAAATAAAAGAAAATAGCTACCATTTACAATTGTTCACAATATATTGGAGCTTGCTCAAACAATATACAGACCTTGGACGATGTAGACAAGCTTGTGAGCATTAGCATACATTGGTAAAACTAAGCCCTTGCTCTCGACGACTAAGCGCCTCACGCTCACTCCGGCACAACGGAACTCATTTCTTGCCTCAATGTTGTAGTACTCAGTGAATCCAGCTTCAGATCTCTGCTGGTGTGTTGCCTCAAGGGCGGTGAGGTGCTCAAAACGACATTGATGACGACTATCTTGGTCTCCCCTAAATCCACGTGGGCTCTGAAGTGGGCTTCCCCCAAATGAAAATTGTGCCATGGACACTTGGAAGAAGAGAAGGAGGCCAAGGCACAATGGAAGAATGGTAGACATGGAAGCCATAGTTATTCACTTAGTTTCCCACTGCTCTTGGTGATGGATGGACGAGTTGGAGGAGAGGGGCTTATATACACGGAGTAGACGAGAATATATGCAAAAAGGGATAACAAACTTACCTAATCTCTTTATCATGCTGATGTGTTTATAGCCTAAAGGAATATCTAGTTTGTCTGTTGCAAACAAGATGATGCAAAAAGGGCATAGGTAAAAACTTGTAAGTCATTATATGCTTGATTGATCATTAAACACATAGATACCATTGTTTTAAAGTTGGAAAAGTGTTTTTTTTGTTAGAGTGAAGCAAGAGTTATGCCATGTTTTCTTGCTATCGCACATAGGAATGCTGAAAAAGATTTTGTATTAGTGCCACCCAAGAAAATAAAGACATGCTTTTAAAGGTGAGAGTTAGGGATTTGCCTTGTGATTACGTGGTATGACTAGAGGACAATAGGTTATTGGTAGTGTAGCTACAAAAAGAGAAAACAAACTACACTAAATTCACAATCAGGCTAGCATAAGATTGCACTCTAGAAACGTACATGTACATTGCTTGTGAGATCATGACAAAAACATAACAACAAAATTCACTTTTTGTTAGAGTGCCGTGAGAGAGTGTCTGACCATAATAGACACATTTAGGTTAAGTGTTCAAAACTAATTTGGGGTTAAGCTAGTGCACACTAGGGAAATAAAATAGACTAACAAAAACATAGGTGAATATTAAATTATAGCCCAAAATAAATGAGTTACGAGTAACTATTAAACTTTAATAGACCAGCAGAAATATTGGTGAATATTTCATTATAGCCCAAATTAAACGACATTTTAGACATGCAATCAGCAGCAAGGTAAGCTAGACACTATAAAACTCCTCTTCAGCTATGGACAAACTTCTCTTCTTCAACCTCTCTCAAAAAAAGAACTTCTCTTCTTCAATATATTTGAGATGTATATCACAAGGGTAAGTACTTGAAGTACTCAACAACTTATGTACATGGATCCAATTATATAAATGGATGTCTACCCTACCAAGTTTGAGTTTTTTCCGCACAAAGCCACATTTGCTCAAAGGGGTAGTGTTAAGCAAAGATAATTTACAAAAAGGATTTGGAATGGTAGTTCAAAAGTGTTGCTTTTGTATGCATGATGAAACTATCCAACACATTTTCTTTGAGTGCCATGTTTGCTAAATTTCTATGGAGAGTAGTCTTTATCTCATTTGGGTTACAAAGGCCACATAGTTTTGTTCATATATTTGGAAATTGGCTAGTTGACATGGACTCCCAGACAAAGAAACATATTCTAACAGGCAGGGGCTGATGCAAGATAAAAAATGACTGGTGGCATGCATCTATAACTCATAACAAGTTAGAAAGCTAAGTGAAACTCACCTCATTGCAGCTTATAAAAACTTTGAGATATTACATTATCTTAAATAGTAATATATAGATATGCCTTCCAAATAATGTTATTGCCTGTAAAGACAACATAAAGTTAGCACAAGCCATATAAATATTACTAAATGGTAAATATAGATAGGGCATACAGTGCATCCTTTCCACGGTGATACTTAGTGATTGTGTCCGACATATCCTTTTCTACAAAGCAAATGAGGCTATGGCTGAGATACTTGTCATCCATCTTGTTGCACAAAGCATTCTTCACAACCTTCATTGTTGAGAAACACCTATCCGCAGTTGCAGAGGCAATAGGAGAGCAAGAGATAATTTTAAAAGATGATAAACCAATGGATAGGAGAGATGATTCCTTGTATCTACCTGTTGGTATTTGATACGGTCACAGATAAATCCGCAAGCGCACGGATACCGCTGTAGCACTTCACCTTAGAGTATTCCAAGGGTATCTAATCGCAGGGAACGTGTATGTATATGTAGGAATATAATTATATCCAAGCACAACTACTGGTAGGTTCAGTCTAGAGATGATTCCTATGGGTTAATTTACTAACTTATGTTAAATGTAAAGCCTCATGGATTGCTTCGAGCACCGGCTCTCCCCTAGTCTGCCAAGCTAAGTCTAGCCTGTAGCTCTATGATATACCCGAACATGGAGGGATACAAAGGACGGACGGGACTGTCACCACCTTCCTCCTACCTCACTTTCCATGGAGCACACTACATATGAAGATAACCGCTGACCTAGACACCACGCTTATGTTATTGATTACTACTCTAGCCTCGTGAATAAACTTTCTTATTTATCCAGAGTCCTAGTGCTAGAGCGCTTAATAATAATACTAAGTGACAAACCTGCAACGATGGGAATATATCTGACTTAAGCAAGTAAATTAAATACCAAAAATAAATCTTGAACACTTACTTTATTAAAGAAGCATCCACCGAGGTACAAGAGAGGAAAGAGTGTCTACAGCTCCTGCACTCCTTCGGACCTACCCCTCACTCTCTACCTATTTTCTCCACTAACTAAAGTGATGCCTAAAATATGAAAGTGAGTTGTACTCCACTTTGTTGTATGTTTGAGAGTGACTTGAGCTCCTCCTTTTATCTGGACATATGATGGTTGTGGAGGTCGGTTCACCCACAACCGCCATCAACATCTAATGAGAGGCCGCCAACCTTGGTTCGGCCGAACCAGGCAAACCGCCTCTGGCCACCAACCTTCTCTAGTGCATGATAGGTGAGCCCCTATGACGGTTAGTGCTGGATTAGCTCAATTTTAGTCAGTTTTGACTGACATTTGGCCCCCCAATCCTTGTGCTCATGTATGATTGGTCGGAGGTTCATCGTCGCTTGGCGGGTTTGTTTTCATCTATATATCACCGGCATACATATATTTACCAATACTAGTGGAAATGGTTAGTAATAATCCCCTACCACTAAGTTTGGTAGTATATTCTGTATTCTACCATGAACTTTTCAAGTGTCTATCATGTCATCTTGGGTGATTGAAGAATGGAACGGCCTTTATTCCGATCGCCTTTACCTCCCTCTAATGAATTATCTTAGTTTTTTCTTTTTATCATAAAACATAACTTTTTTACTTTACTCCTAAATTGAGTCTCTCATACCGTCATTGTGTTTAATTCTCGTCAAGGCATTTGATGTTGCCTTTTCTTATCCTACCTTTCTAATAAGGATTATGTAGAGCTCAGGGTAGGGAATAAGAATAACATACTTGCATCAAATATTTTGTAAAGTCAAAAGGTAGATCCAAGGAGACTAATAGACATACAATTATGATCAAGATGTGCATGTGTGTGGAAAGGGATGTGTATGTGGAAAGGTGGAAAATGGGATGATATCATTTTCTATATGATCCTCCTCCTTATACTTTATTTGGAGAACATGGCTATGTTCTATATCTTTTTTTTCATCATGCTAGAGAATATTTTTTCTTCTCTTGTGAGCATTTTGATTTTCTAACATCATCATTTTTTTAGCTCATCTCATTTGGCATGGATAGTAGGATGGAGAATCATAATCATGTTGGGTTTTTATTTGGTGAATGAATGATGGTTGATGCTGATTTCCAGAGAAGATGTATATCATGTGATGGTGGATGGAATATTTTGCTGAACCTCCAGTGTAGAGGGAGAGCAATATATGGTGGATATGTGCACATGGTGATGATCATGAAAGTACGAAAAGAATCTAAAAAGAGACTCAACCATTTGACCAAACTGAAAATGATAACAAGCAGCATATGTTTTAAGGTTTATCAATAAGATCGATATATGGCTTTGGTAGGAACAAAACATCGATGAGGAGTACATAAATTTATACTGTTTTCATTTTATAATATTCCCAAGGACTCAATAGAAGAAAACAAGGGTCATATTAGCAAATAATCTCTCATTCATCAGTCACTTAGATGACATGTGTTTCTAATGATATGTTCATCAGTCACTTAGCAAATAATCTCTCATTCATATGTTCACAAGCACACGGTAATATGCAAGGAACATAGAGTATGCAAGACATTTTTAGTTAAGTCATAAACTCTAGCTAAATTATTCGGGCACATTTTAAAAGTTGAGTTTAATTTTCAGATATGTTTCATGGTACGGATTATCAAACTCAAAATTTAGAGAGATGAGAGGATAAACATGCAAAACATCGTGTAGTGAGTGTGGCGACGAGCAACACTATGTCTAAAGATTTCCATGCACGAAGAGTTTCACCCAAGAGTTGAAGAGCAATACTATGTCTCCTGCCTCAAATTCCTTCACCATGACTCGCCTATCATGCCATCTTTTTGTTCTTTCCTTATACATTTTGGCATCGTGATAGGCTTTATCCCTCAATTCCTCCATCTATAATAGCTACAACTATCTATGATGTCTGGCTTCTCCTAGGTCAATATTCCATGTCCGGGTGGCCCAGTGTGCTCTGTGCTCCAGCTCGACCGGTAAATGATATGTTTTTCCATATACGAGCTGGTAAGGTGACATGCCTTTAGGTGTCTTGTATGCGGTCCTATATGCCCAAAATGCATAGTGTAGTTTGTTCTTCCATGCCTTCCCCATCTCATGTATGGTATTCTGCGAAATGTTCTTGATCTATTTGTTGAATGTTTCTGCTTGACCACTTGTCTGGGGATGGTATGGGGTTGCAATGTTGTGCTACGCCCCAAGCTCATGTAAAAAGTTTTGGAATGTCTTATTAATGAAGTGAGACCCTTTTTCACTTATTACCATCCGCGGTGTTCCAAACCGAGGAAGGATGACCTCGTGGAACATCTTGCTAGCGTGCTTGGCGTCGGTGGAGCAGCATGACATTGCTTACACACACTTGGACACATAATAGCCACTAGGATGTACTCGCAATAATGGACTTAGGGAATGGTCCCATGTAAACGATGATCCATGCATCAAATAGTTCCACTTGAATATTGTATGTTAAGGGCATCACATCGTGAATAGTGATACCTCCGTGCTTCTAGCATCCTGCACATCTTTAAATGAATTCTTTTATATCTTCATACATGGTGGGCCTGAAGAATGCACTCCGCCAGATCTCTGCTTGCACGCGAAATGCACCACAATGGCCTTCATATGGTGATGCATGGAATTTTTCAATGATCTGGATGCTTTTTGCTGTCGGTACATATCTTTTGAGTAGTTTGTCTGAATAGACTCGGTATAAGTACGGTTCGTCCAACATAGACTCGGTATAAGTACGGTTCGTCCCACAAGTGCCTTCTGCTATCATAGATGATGCACCTTTTGTTCTCCCCAGTGGTACATACCATGCAACCATAAAGTTCACAATATTTGCACACCAGGGTTGCGAGTATGTTACTTTGGTAACATGCCATCCCGTAGAAAATCATTTATTTGCTGTTCATGCATGTTAGTACTTAGCATATGCGACAAATGAACTGCTACGTAATTTTCTACTCCAAATTTATCTTTAATTTCAAGATCAAATTATTAAAGTAGGAGAACCCATCTAATAAGCCAAGGTTTTGAATCTTTCTTAGTGAGCAAGTATTTTAATACAGCATGATCAGTGTAAACAATAACCTTAGCTCCATCTAAATAAGATCTGAACTTGTCAACTGCAAAAAAAAAGGGCCAGGAGCTCCTTCTCAGTTGTGGTATAATTTAATTGAGCTCCTATTAGCGTTTTAATAGCATACGCGATAGCATGGTGTTTTTATCTTTAGTTTAGCTGAGAACGACACCTACAACATAATCACTAGCATTGCACATGATTTCAAACGACAATGACCAATCAGGGGGTTGAATCATTGGTGCTGAAATGAGTGCTTCTTTTAAGATACTGGTGAACGTGCACGTGCAAAGCACATTGACATATACGATTGAAGAAAAATACATTCATTGCTAATGTACATCTACATATACTCACAAATTAAAGCTCATAGTCATTGATAAAAATAAAAGTATTGTAAACATTGTCTTGGTAATTCATTGAATAAAACTAATTTGTTATTGTATTACAACGTAACAATTGTTTTTCAGTGAGAAACTTATTTTCATTATATTTATGTTACTTTATGCCATGGATTACACAGATAATGGTTAAGCCTGTAAGAGTTCAACTATTATGAGAACAAACGACGATAGCTAACTCATCAAAAAGCGAGATAGCAGTCATATATTATCAAAAGCTAGTAAATGTACAAATACAGCTTAGAATAGATCAGTGAATCAGCAGTGAATGTTTCCCAATTTTCCTCTTTCATAGTCTGAAGAGCATTAAATAGTTTGATTTGGATATATAAACATGTACATGAGATTTTAATGAGCTAATTTTCCACACATTTAGCAGGGTAAACTCGGGCCAAAATAATAATTATGATTGAAACAAAACTTCTCTAAATTGTTTTCTTTGGGCAAAAAACAAAATTCGGTTTGAACATATCATAAAGCTCACAGAAAACTAAACTGCAAAATCAGTACCTGCAAAGTTTAGGCGCATATATTGTGCTGCATTTGAAGTTACTTTATTATGTATAGATAGACATTATTCTGTCATTTGAGATTTGTAACAACATGATTGGGCATGATGATCTACATAGAAAAATTCCAATGGAAAGATAAGTACAAACACTATTATGCCATATGTATTAATCATATCTATTGCGCACCACCATGAGGTCCCGGACTGAATGGTATATCATCACTTCATTACACCCTTACTATCCTTGATTTTGGCACCAGAACAGGTCACAGGGCGAGATAGATTTTTTTATTTGAATGAGTCTGTGTCATACAACATAAGACTGTAAAAGGGCAAAATTTAATTGCTGGGTAGGTTCAACTCGAGAAGCATAAAGTTAGTACATATTATGCATAGATTATACACCGCAACAGAATAAAGAGGTTGCAGTAGAGGATTGGAGGAAAAAAATCTGTAGAGATCAAATAGTGCTTTTGGCTCATTAAGCAACAAAATCAGTTCATTATGTATTTGGCTCAATTACAATCGGATAAGTTTATTATCTTTTGAGGTAGTCATAGAAATATTCTACCAAAAAATAAGCAGTTTTCAGCGATCATTATCTATATAATAATGCAAGCATCTACAGATCTAACTACAAACGAAAAATTTCTCTCATGCGTTTCATTAGCAATTTTAAATTTAGATTCTATTAACAATGCCTAACTGGTGAAAATAAGGTACCTTTAAATTTTTGAAGCTACTTATTTAAAAGCTAGGATCGATCCAAATCTCAAGCCCAACAAACCATTTAGACTTACACCATGCAGGCAGGGCACCATGCAGAAAAAACACGTCAAATTTTGTAAGGAATATAAATGAATCAGAGAGGAATGATGATAGCTTGACTCACCAGAGGCTATGATGGCAGACCAACCGGAGAGCGAATGGGCGATAAGAGATGTTTTCTCCTCCCTCTCATGACCAGAATAAATAGGAGCCTGGTAGATTTCCAAATTTCAATGGCAGTCGTAGGGAAGAAACCACCACCCAATCTATCGCAGTAGAGTAAGGAGGCGATAATATTAGCAGCAACAATGCAGCGGATACAGACAAACGTCGTTTATCAAATCGACACTAAAGACAAATGAAGTTGATGAAATCGATGAGTCAGGTGATGTGAAGTTGACTAACAAACCAAGAGATAAGCTTTCATGGAGATGGATTCATCAAGATAAACATCTCCAACTACCTGAATGAATTCCATGGAGATGGAAGCATAAGAGGTATGCTTACATTTCACAAAATAATTCTATAGAAATCTGAAATGGATGTTATACCAGTGACTTGTATATACCTGCATTCGTTTATCAGCACTACTCTTTTGCCTCAGTCCATTGACCTCAACCTCCACAACCTGAGAAATGAATGTATTGAAGAAATAATTGTTTTCCGAACAGTAGTATATCACATCTAAAGAAAAGGAAAGCGAGGCAGACCTAGTAGCAGGAGATGTGAGAGTTACCTCTGATCGGCTGACAAGCTGGTGATAGAAGGGCACGGTGAGGACGTGAGGTTGGCATTGATCATCAGGCCCAGCGTGCTGGTGGGAAGAGCCTCTTGAACTGCTCCTGCGCTGCAGAGGAAGCATGGAGAGGTGCACCTTGCGGAAGTCCTTCTGCTACTGCTCGTGTGGAGCCACCAACATTGTTCTCCAATGTAGACTAAGACAAAATATATCAGCAGTCCTTACTACAAAAAAAATAATCAACGGATGTATAAACATTTTGGTGGTCGGTTCTGATTTTGAAATTATCTGGGTAAAAATATGTAACCTATATCAAGTCAATTTGAACATATAAAAGTAAAATCAGAAACAATACTTGGAGTTGAGAAAGATCAAAGGCAGTTTAGTGAATTGAGGATATGTGCGCGCTTCTCAAATTTGAGCATGACGACCTAGATTATCCATCAGATTAATCAGATAGGTAAATCTCACTGAGTTCATTCAAATCTGGACAGTTTATGACCTGCAAGAAATTAATATCTCAATGAACTTGCAATGGTTAATCAATTTAACTGAAAATACTTGTAGTAGCAGGTTGTGTTATCAATTTTGTTAGGGAAGAAAGATCTGATAGCCATAGCGTTGAAAGGCTTGAAGAGCTTATACTAACAAAACTGAGATTGCCGCAGCCATCCATCTAATTTGAGAACTGGTAGAAATCATTTATCTGAGACAAATATATTTAGCTCATCCCTGTGTTGACAATCACTGAAGTCAATTAAGAGAGCACTCAAGACTTAAAATGCAGATTGAACTGATTAGGGGGAGAATAGTTAGTACCTGGTTTAGACTTTAGAGGGATGTCGTCATGTCGTCTTCAGCGAGCGAGGTCATTCCAGTGGACTATGGCGTGGTACGGCAAGGCGGCGAGGGCAGGACGGAGCTGAAGGAGCAGGCGAGACGGTGTCGGCGCAAATAGATCCCCCCTCTCCTTCCTCTCCATCGCGTCGCGAGTAGGGAACTAAGGACACCGGCTGTTCGGCCCGCGCGCGAGGAGGCGGTGCGGCAGGGTGGGCAGATCCCGTCTCTCCTTCCTCTCTGTCCCAGTGTGAGCAGGGAAGCAAGAGGCCGAACAGCCGGGGTAGGGCGAGGTGGCTCCGGCGGGCGCGCGCAAGTCGGCGGCGGTGGCGCGAAGGGCAAACGGCGGCGACGGCGCGAGGAGTAGACAGCGGCGGCTCCATGCGGCAGGGCGAACGGGATGAGATTGTGAAGAGGTGGAGGAGGGAGTGGGGAACCGGCGGGCGTGCACAAGGAGGCTGCGGGGTAGGGCGCGTGGTTCCAGCGGGCGTGCAGTCGGAGCCGGCGGCGGCGGCCGGCTGTCCTGCGGGCGCGCGCAGGAGGCGGCGAGGGGAGGTGGGGAGGAGGCGAGGCGGCGGAAGGAGGAGGAGGAGGCGCGGTGGCAGAAGGCGGAGAAGGCGTAGGAGGAGGAGGCGCGGGCGGTCTGGGCGACGATTTCCTTTTTTTTCCGATTTGGCGAAGAGAGGGATTGAGAAGCGCTAATCGCGGGGTTAATCCGGCGCAGATTGCAATCGCGGTGTTAATTGCACTAAACAACTCGTGCTTTTTATATTAGTCTAGATTAATAGATTTTAAACAATCATCATGAAAGTTAAAGAGAACATTCTTAGCTAACAAGCTAGTTAGGGGTCTAGCGACTAAAGAGAAATTTTTAATGAACCAACGGTAGAACCCCGCATGACCCTAAAAGCTACGAACTCCTTTAACATTGGTGAGAGGTGAAAGCTATTAAACTACTTCAATTTTTTTTTGCTCTATCTACCTCAACTCCCCTTTCGGAGACTCAGTCCTAGGACTATACCTTCACGGACCATGAAGTGTCACGTTTCCCAATTAAGTACCAAGCCCTCCTCTTGACATCATTGCAAGACTTTGTCTATTTTTTATAAACAATGATCGGAGGTTTTTCCATTGATGAAAAAAATCATCCATGAAAATATTCATGATTTCCTTGATCATGTCAGAGAAAAAAACATCATGCTCTATTGGAATGACGCGGGTGCGTTACTGTTGACGGTCGTTATTGATCAGTTTCGCCCGTCAATATTACCAACATAACGGAGACTAAGTTATGCGTGCAACGCATATTATCTCAAAATAAGATATATTCCACTAGCACTAGGCTTTCTAACCTCTTGCAGCGAATAAACATAAATTGAAGGCGATTTGACAGCAAAATGGACGATCAATCAATCGGGCGCTGTCGAGAATCAGACTTATAGAAGGATGGGCCAATAACTCAGAAATGACATGACCAAATTGGGCCAAAATTTACAAGTCTGCGGAGAGTAGCAAAAGAGGAGGCCACCTGCCAGATTTGGGCCAGGCCGGCCTAGCCCATGGTTGGGCTGAACCCACCGCGGCTCCGTTCAATGCAGGTTTTGATGGACGGTCTGGATTGCTCCCCTATGGCGGTTGGAGGGTATTACCGACCTTTCCAACTGCCATAACCGTCTTTCTCAAGCTATATAAAGCCCTCTCATCCTCCATTTCAAGACACACCTCAAGCATGAAGCTTCATACATTCTCTCAAGTTTAGTATAGGGCACGTTTGGATCCTAGGCTAGCAACTTCCTCTCCTTGCTAGGCTAGGCTGGTCATTTGGTAACTACTTTAAAAACTAGCTTTGCTTAGCAAACTAGCCTGCCTTGGCTAGAAAATCTTTGACCGTCAAGGAGAGCCAAAATGGCTCTCCTTCATCGGCAAGCTCCTGAACAAGCAACCTTGCTTTGGTGGGCTATAGTCTGGTTGAGCTAGGCTAGTTGAGCAAAAACTATCTAGAGATCCAAATGTGCCCATAGTCTCTAGAGTATACTGGAATAGAAATAGAAATAGAATCTTCAGTCCTCGGAGTCTTCGAAAGTTCTTCAGGTATGGCTCTAGTAGCTTTTCCTTCTTTTGTAAGACTTGTACTATTTATAGAATATTCTTCTCAATATATTTACGGTACTTTACTTCATTCTGATTATTCGAGTACTGACTTTCCGATATATTATTCGAGATATAATTGTCTAGCTAGCTTACTCGGGAGATGCAATGGTGTAGGTATAATGTTCATTTACATGAATGCTCTATGTCATGACGATAATTATAGAGTAGTATTTGGTAGCATAAGCGAGGTGTTTAGGCTATTGAATATCATTATTTGGGGTTATATGCTGCGGATACGTCGAGGTGGGCCACTGATTATGACAGCTTAGTATGGATATTCCTCTACGCGTGTATATAATCCTAAGTTACTTTCCTAGGGAGGGTACTCCTCCGTATTTAGCCCCGGTTAGATGGCCATGACTGGTTGTCGTAAGGAACTCGGCAATCAGGAGTGGTCTCTCGAAACACCAAGAGGGCATCGTAAGGGGGGTATTGGCTGTATAATTGTATAGTAGATAAGATTGACTAAAGTATATGTATGTATATTAGAAGTATAGGAAATGACTCTATTCTTATTCTTTCCACTTAGCCTAAATTAATATGTATGAGAATTGTGAATGCTTCTGCTTAGTGTCACCCTACCCTTTTGAATTGAACTAACCCCTGCTTAGACTTTGATTATTACAAGTAACATATAAATATTAGCTTGGTTATCTCTATTATAATCTTTCCACGGGATTAAACAAATAAGATACCCTTGAAATACTCTTGGGTGAAATGCTACAATTGTATATCCGTGCTCTTGCGGATGAAATATGTAACCATAATGTACCAAGAGTGTTTCTGTGCCATTGCTAGGAATTATATTTCTAGTAATGTCATTAAGAAATACCAACAGTTACACAGCCTGAACAACATCCGTCGGTAAGCATACATTCCACAAGGACACATGAACGTTGTCTTGCTTTTATCATTGGAATGGATGGGAATTCGATGATAGCTAGAATAGCCATAAAGGAAACGGAAAAATGAGTGATTCACCAGCAACTCTAGCATATCATCAATGAAGGGCATGGGGAAGTGGTCGTTCCTAGTAGGGGTGTGATCGAGTTTTCAATGACCGTCATACCTCCCGGAACAACTTGGACTGGGCTAACCCACTCACTATATGGGATGGGATAAATTATCCCGACATGTGTTGGTATTTCTTAACAACATTACTAGAAATATAATTTCCCAACAATGGCGCTAGAAATGATCCTGGTATATAATGTTTATATGCCACTTGTATGATCAGAGTCTAAGCAGGGGTTAATATATTTATAAGGGTAGAGTGACACAAAGCAAAGAACTCATATCTCTCATTAATCAATCCTACGCTATGTGGAAGAAGAAATAGAAAAGCAATCAATTCCTATACTTCTAGTATGCACTCAATCTTAGTTTATATCTGTTAGTATACAGCTATGTAGCGAATACCCCCTAATAGTGTCCTCCCGGTGTTTCGAGAGACCACCTCGGGTTGTCGAGTTCCTTACGACAACCCATCATGACCGTCCAATCGGGGCTAAATACGGAGGAGTACCCTCCCAAAGAAAATTTCTTACGAATATATACTATCGTGGAGGAATACTCATACTGAGCTGTCACCATCAGCAACCCACCTCGACTGAACCGTAGCATATATGCCTAGATAGTGATACTTAATATTCTAGACACCACGTCTACATTATTAAATACTACTCTATATCCCCCGAGATGACATAGAGCAACCGAGTAATCGGATACTAAACCCACACTATTGCACCTCTCTGGTGGGCTAACTACACAATTATACCGATACAAATATAAAGTAAAGCCGATACTCAAATAAACTAAAGTACCGAGAGTATATAAAGAATAACATTTCATTACTTCCGAAAGTCTTACAAAAGAATAAGAAATAGCTACTAGAGCCATACCCGAATTCCTTCGAAGACTCCGAGGACTCCGAGAGCTATTCTATTCTACTCCACTTAGCACTAGAATACTAAACTAAAGTATAGGGAGAAATGTTGAGCTTGCTTGGGTGTGTTGAGAATGAATTGAGCTCCTCCTTATATAGGCAGGTATGACGGTCATAACTGATGCTAATTGTCTGAAATGCCTCGCAACTGCCTTCAACAAGTGATCCTGGACGTCCACGTGTAAGGCCAGCCTAAGCCAGCGCTGCCAGGGTTCCTGGGCTGGCCCAGCAGGCCTCCAAACTTTCCCAGGTCACTGACAGGTGGGTCCCTATGATGGTTGTGACAGTTATGGCGGTTTCCGGGACATGTGGGCCCATCTTATCCTTAAGCTTGCTTAGGAGTGAAATGTCTTCATTTCTTCTCCATTTATGTATTAATATCTGCAAATAAATAATATTCTAGGTACAAGTGGAAATAGATTATTCTAAAACAAATATGAATTACAAGCATAGCTAGTTCTCTGTTATTTTAGTTATATTGACGGTCGAAATTGGTCTATAACGACCGTCAACAGCATGTTGGAGTTTCAACACTTTTATTTTCACGACTTTTCTGTTGGTGGCTGTTAAATACCAATTTTATGCTGCCAATACCTGGATAAACAGAAGAAATAAAACATCCAACATAGTGAAAGGGTTTAATTCTAACATATTCCATGAGTGTTGGTGTATATTTGAGTGCAGGTAATAGACCACCAAAGTTGGGATGAAATCCAGACTTATGTAAAGGAAGAATCCTATCCATACAAAGAGTAGGCCTTGAGTTACATCAAAACATCATCAAATGGGCCAAATGCACGAGAAATGGATAAGGCAGAGCAAGGAGGAGAACCAGACCAGATTTGGGGGCAACCTGGCCCAGCCTAGGTTCGACCGTGGTGATCGCCGTTGGATCCAGGTTTTCGTATGGATGCTCCAGATGCTCTCCGGATGGCGGTTGCGGGGCATTTTGGAAATTTCGCGTTTTCCAACCGCCATTACCGGCCTATATAAGGACATCACTTCATCACTTATCACACACACTCCAAGCTTGAGCTGAATTATAAGAGGCTCTATTGTACTTTATTGTATACTAGAATGAGGGAGAGAGTAGAGTAGAGAAAGTCGGAGGAATTCCAGAGTTGTCGGTAATCGTCTTCTTATTTCTTTTACTCTGTTAATTACTCTACTTTAATAGAAATATCATTCCGAGCAATTAAGATTTATTCGGTGAGATTTATCTCTTGGTTAGTTCCTAATTAGCGCGCAGGATCATTGATCACTATAATCCAGTAAAAATAGTGGTTGCTTTAGTGTTTAGCTAACGCTAAAGTAGTTATTAGCTGCGTAGACGTGGTGTCTGGGTAGTTAATTTCTGGTGGTTTCTTCGTATCCCACAGAATGTTTGAGGTGGGTGTAGAGGTGGTGACAACCCTCAATTACACTGAAGTCCTCCCTGTCTGGGTACGTAATAGAGTCATATCTGGTAGCAGTGGGCTAGCCAGTGCCCGAAGTGTCGTGTTAGGATTAAATTGGGCTTTCCCTAGACACTGTCTCTCACTAGTAAATCCTCTCTACCCTTAGCCTATCTTAACTTCGTGTC